TTTCAGGAATCATCTCATTCCCTTCTGCTCTATTAACCTTTCTGCTCATTTTCAGTCTTGGACAATTGCCATAGGGACCAATGGTGCTGCAGTAGCATCTTTCAGATAACACAAATAGCACAGATCTAGCACATTTAAATATGGAGAGAGTTTCTTTTCTCTCTTTCCTTTTTTTGTTCCCAGAAATTCCCTGAATAGAATTCTAGGCATTTTTTGGTTAGTGAAGTATTAGACTCCTAGGCTTAAACTAGTGAAAAACAACGAGCCTGATCTTTTTCAAATTAGAGGCCAAAAGAAAAGTCCCGAAGTTATTATGGAAAGGTTTCAAAGGCAGAAAATTGAATTATTTATATCCTATATTGTATCAGGCAATGAAAGATGGCATTTCTCAACACTCTCAGCATCCCCAGTTGGACTTCAGTTATTCTGACTCAGTTTTGTGAATATCTTTACAGCCTGGTAAAAATAAGTCTTTGAAATTTTGAACTGACACCAAAGGGTTTCTCAGCAAGTGAAAACAAAATAGTTTATATCTAATAGTGCACATTTTCTTCATTGGAATCCATCAGTGCTTTCTCTATTATTTTCCTCCCTATGTTTTTTTCTCCCTCACATCAGGACCTGAATCTATCTGTTGTTTTCCTTTAGCCTGCGGTTACAGAAAGCCCTTCTCTCTGTGGCACACAAGGACAAAGAGAAGTGACAACCTGTCATGACTCTAAAACACGTATCATGACACACCACTGTCTTGTCAACTTCTAGTGTTTCCTGCCTTCTAGAAAAGTATTTTCTGCCTGCATATCACCATAACTAATTAATTCTTAGTAAAGTGCTTACTAAGTAAAATAGGAATGAACCATAGCTGCAGGCTGTTTATGTAAATTCAGAGTTTGTCTTTCTCCAGCCAGCTTCTAACTTTTGTAACAGGTCACAAATTTGAACACAGTCTCAACATCCATCACACATGATACCAAAATATGTTTCCATGTTTGCTACTTCATTTCAATGCATTAAGACCTTGCTCCCCTGCTGCTATGCAGAAATTAGGTGGTATGTGTGGGGCTGTGAGATCAGAGCTGCCGGTGCACACGGGATCACAGAGGCTTCCAAGGAGCTGAGTGCCAGTGCAGGGGCTTAGCTGCTGGAAACCCGAGCGGGAGATGAGGGGTCATACTTTTCCTTTACCTGCGTATAACTAGATCAAACACAAGAGGAAGCTACCTAGAAATAATCCAGTTTTATTTCTCAGTCCACTTTTCCCACATTGCTATTTTGAAACCTTCTCCATCAGCAGACAGAGCTTCTTGGAATTTTGTAAGCTTTGATATCTGCATGAAGCCTGTGTAAAACTTGTTATGCTGGAGCTGGTTGTACACAGAGAAGTAACAGTGATGAAGAGATGAAAAGGTCATTTATGTCACACGATGTGTTCAACCAGAGCAGTGCTACAACACACACCTTGTGATGGCTCTGCCCGCCCCAAAATGCAGCACATGATGTGTATGGAAAATGTTCTTGTGCCCTCCTTCTCATCACAAGATTGCAGCTTTCATTTTGAACATACAGTGCTTCTACTGTTTACCTTTGTATGCCAGCATTGAAAAGTAATGTAGAAAATGGAAGTGCATGAAAACAGGAGCACAGGAGAAACTGATTCTTTTAAAGAAAGTCATTATATCAGCAGGTATTCTGTAATGATCCTAGTATGTGATCATTGCATCACACTCCTTTCAGGTTTACTTCTTAAACACAGCTTGTTTTTTTCCTTAGCAATTGACTATAGAGAAATAACTGGCTTAGAGACAAGGAAAACTCAATTATATAAAAATTGCATTTACAGCTAGATCTGCAACAAAATAAACCGCAAAAAGGGGCAGGAGGTGGGGCAGAGAACAGATGTTTTAGTGATTCTTCCAAGCTAGGTAATGGTGCTAGGCTCTTACCACTCAAAAACACACAATGCCCTGACACGAGCCACGGTAACTGGAGCACTCTGAGGGGCATTTTGGAACTGCAGGGCTTGATCCGCAGATGGGGTTCGTGCCTTCGTTCCACTGATTTCAGTCCCAGCTAAGGGCAGGGTGTGTTCCTGGCTCTGTTCCTATGCTCTTGTGTCGCTGGTTGCAGGTGTTAAAGGCACCACTGCATTGTCACCACACAGCAGGGGACAGGGTTGCCCGCAGCGCCCACTGTAAGGACCGGCCTGACATTCCGGGGTTACCAGATTACCTCCTAACAAAGCAAGAGCAAAATCATACCTCTGCTCCATGGGCTTCAGCATTTTCACCATTCCTACTGGGGCTCAGCCTTTGGTGTGACATATCAATGGAAATAACACCAAGGCAGACCTGGACTCAATGCATCTTCCCCTAGCCTTGCTGGTCACCCATATGGCTCTGAATAGCCCAGATGGGATAACTAGCTGACATGTTTAAAGAGTTTTTTTGTTTTTTGTGCATTTTTTTTAAACAAGGTAGTCTAATGTGAGGGGAAGGGGGTTACAGAGAATGTAACAATATAGCCCATGTTTTAAGCTGCCACATTCCTAGCTGGCTGTTTGATGTGCACAAGTTTGTGACAGATTTGTTTCACTTGCTATCAGAATGGAGATGACTAACTGCAAAGCAAGGATTAGATAATTACTGACAGAGAAACAACCACAAAGCTCAACTGAATATTAATTCTGTTTTAAACGCTGCTAAACTGTAACAAAATGCGTCCTACCAGACAGTCAGCTCTTTACTACATTACAATAATTTAAGCATGTGCCATCTATAAATTATCTGGTCTTTTAAACACTTCACTGCATAAACAAAAAGCTGCATAACAGCGAGACATCTCAACGGCAGCTGATTTAATGTATAACTTCTCTCATCTCATGATGAATAATTCCCCAGTATTTTAAAATATCTGCAGATTTTGTTACCATCTCTCTTAGCCAAACCCTTCTTGCATTTCAATAATATGAAAGGATCTAATAGCCCACTTGAGAGCAGGCTTTTAACTAGGATTTATGGATGTAAGTTTGACATAAAAAAATTAACCCTTTTGAATCAGCAAGATACATAACACATTGATAGGACTATGAAACAGCGGCAGTCACTAGATCTAGATCCTGAGCCCCTTGGATTAGCAATAACCTGCTGCACTGAACAACATTAAGTCACTTTTAAGTTTCCATCTGGAACAAAATCTGCCCAATTGTCTCTTCAGCCATTTCTTGAACTAATTTAAGCAAGCTGCGTAGAAGAGGTAAAGTCCCCCTAAAACCCCAAATATACCCCAGGAAAACTAGGAACCCTTCTGTTGACTTCCACAGCCTTTGAATGAGGCCCTATAACAGAGAAATCAGAACACATCCTGATTAGAATAGGCTCATTGGCTTATCCCAGCTTTCGGAACCCTTTCTGTTCGAGAGAAATAGTGTGAAGTTAAGTTGATGTAGCGCTTCTTGAACGCTGCTATGTTGATATTGTTTAGCAGTCATCTAGACATCCCTCTTCAGATCATTCATTTTCAAATGCTCTGCTGGGAGCCCACGTTTTTGCCACTGTCTAGTTAAACATGCTTATTCTCAAAGCTCACCCGGGTCGGGAAATTCCTCAGACAGCAATTGGTCATATTAATGACAAGACGGACAGGAGTCAAATAAAAGTGGATGTTTCAAGAAAATCAGATTATTCAATAGGAAGTGAAAAGTAATCAAATGTCAACCTCGGAGGACAGAGAGAGACTGGAGCTATGGATTTAAACCAAGAAACCTCCCAAAATAGAATTAAAAATATATACACACATTTCCTCATGTGGTTGTATTTAGTCCTCAACCAGAACACATCTTTCTGTGTATCATATTAACTTCATTCTGAGAATCTGGAGGTATTTATAAACCTACAAATATACCCCACCAATAAAAGATAATGCCTAGAATGAAGAATAATACTTTGCAATCGATTACGAACACCTCCAGCACTGCAACATTCCTGAAGATAGTAGCTAGTAATTTCCTTTGTAATTTGCCAGATAAATCACAAAAAGTGAGCAGGCTTGATAAATGAGCTGTAATTTTCTAGACTTCAGTCTAACAGATGTATTTACACATTTCATAATGTAACAGTAGAAATGCTGCATGCTACTGCCAAATGTTGTATTAAATGTTACCAAACAAAAATCTCCCAACAAATTCCTATCATGTTGGCTATTAAAATAGCCTGTAATGCACATTTTTTTTTTCTCTCTTGCTCTTCTTCTTCTTGATCAAGACATGTTAGGCTACTTTTACTTGTTTAACTTACCCTTTTCTTGCTCATCAGTAGAGGAAAAGCACATGTGTACATGCACAAACTACAAAACGCTTATCTGGAGCATTGTGTCAGTCTTCTTTAAATACTTTGGGAGGTCTTTTGATAAATAAAATAAGTCAAAAACCAGATCTTGCTTCCATTTTATACTGCTCTTTAGAGCACTTCTTCCAGACAAGGAAGAACAATTTAGTCGTGCCTGACCTCAGCCTGAGCCAATTGCTCTTTCTCCAACATCTGATTTCCCTTAAGCAGGTTGATATTTCAGTTCCATTTGGTCAAAATTAGTGGTAGAGCTGAATGCCGCTCCCCTGGCACTGGCAGACAGCACACATCTGGTCACATCATCTGGCAAGGGCAGGCACAACCGCAGGGAACACCTGAATGCACCTGCTCCAGGAACCACGCGTGGAGTCCAGCCACGTTCCATGCACTTACACAGTTTTGAGAGTCAGAAACTGCACTTACTAGTGTTTTCAACAAAGTAGGACAGAGTATTTGAAACTCCAAGTATTGTTACTAGAACACCTATGAATAGTTCTGAATCATACACTTTCTGAATGGCAAGTGTTTTAGAGGCAGTTTTTATACAAATTGAAAAACAAGCACATGCATAAATTTAACACATCACATATATCTTTACATCTAGAAATGTATGCATTTTTATAAATTTTGAAATGCAGAAAGAAATTTTCTTCCTACCTCTTCCAAGGCCCATAAGGAATCAACCACAGGCTTGATCTTCTTATTATTGTATAGATTTATGAGTTTGTCCATTACACTCTTGATCAAGCCACTTCGATTCTGTTTGAAAAGTAGATTCAAGAGAGAAAATCCAGCAATGACCTTGTTCTCCTCATACAGCTTGATAGGATTTACCTTCTCAACCTGCCACCACTGAATAGGAAGAAAGGACAGCAGGGTTAGAACAACACTCCTCAGGACACGTACAGCAAAGAGCACAAGAGAACAGTCTGTGCAAACACGATAACTAATCAAAGAGAAAGACGCGAGTCCCAGGACTCATCTGTCTCTTCTGACACAGTCTGGGAAGCAGGAAGGATGGCCTGATTTCCATGATAAATTCGTAGAGCTGGCTCTCTTGTTTACAAACATTTTGTTTGATAAAAATGTTTAAAAAAAGAAAGCATGCAGTTGCTGAATGCTGTGGAAACAAACTACCGATTTTGTTGCATGACCTCAGGCTATTAAGAAAACAATGAACAGCTCTGCTTTTAGGACAGAGAATTAGAAACAAGGAACCTACAGGGCATAGTTATCCTCATCCCTGGATATGTCATTCTACCATCAATGAGTAAACAATGCACTCTGATTTATAGCATAGCTATACAGGTGATATATGTCTTAGCTAACAATTTAAATATGTGCTATATACAGATCCAGATCCTGTCTAGCTGTTATATCAAAAGAAAACATGTCAGATCACATTGCATTCACAAAATTCTTCATTTTAGCAACATGAAACATAACAACTTAATGGAGATGAAAGAGAATGATGAAAGGGAACATATTTTTTAAAAAAATGAAGTTAGAGGAGTGAGGAGTAGAATAACAACAGTGTGACACTTACTGATTTCGCAAAACTGAAGAAGCTTTTTGTTTCCCCAGTAACCATGTTAGATGAACCTGTAAAAGACAAGTACATTTACAGACAACTTATTACATGCTGACAAGCAGACCATTTACTATATGTAAAATGGTTTCTGTGATTCATACTTTAGAAAAAAAGTTTTCTCCACAGGTTTAAAATAGATCAATAGATGTCCTTTTACTGTGGAAATAAACCACAAAGAGCCCAAGGTGACAGTGCCCTCAACTTAATAGATGTTCTGAGATCACAGAAACATAATTTCTTAAATCTTCCCAGAAAACAAGAACAGTTCAAGTGCCACATGGCACTTTGACACCAAGTCTCTTCTACAGCTGTCTGCTTCTCTGCAGTGAGATGCCATCTGCCTGCGACACTCCCTCGTTTAGGAGCTATCACTACACTGACGCCCTTCCTCTCTCATCAGCCAGTGGCTGTATCTCACCAGGGCTCTGACTCCCACGTGGGTGAACATACACACACAATGCACTTCAATCTGCCACCAGCAGTAGCGACCATTCGCTTGGCTTGGCCTTCCCTACAGGCAGGCAGACAGTTGGCTTCTACAGTCCAAGCGGACATGAATGATGACTTATTCAACAACAACGTTATTGCTCCTTCGATAGCTAGATAAAAGTGCAAGGAAGTGGGCATGCTTGTCTGTGAAGATATTCCACCTTCCACTGCCATGATACAGGCTTCATTTCAAAAGCTGATCAATGCCTTCAGCTGCCTCTCTGTAGAACTTGTCCAGCTGTGGTTTCAGCATCAGCAAACAGCAGGGCAGGCAGCGCTGCAGGAGGGAGACGTCTGCTCTGTGTGGGTAGCTGTCAGTTTAGGTAGTCTTGTCAAATGAACACTAGAGACTTATTTAGAGCAGTCTCCAAATTTCCTTCCCACAAGAACAGAATTCTGCTTTATTGCAGTCTCCAGAATGAACTATTTTGATTCCTGTGGTCCAGAAATTAGAGAACCAAACATATTATGTATATGTGTATATGTGTGTGTGTATGTGTATGTGTGCATCATTCTAGCAAATGATGCTAACTGATCTCAGTAATTCAGTCTGTGCTCAGCCTTACTAAACTTCTCAACTGGAAAGGGCCAAACTGAGAAAATCAGCCACAAGGAAAAGCCTCAAGTTCTGGAGGGGGTAGCACTGATGAATTTACAAGACCTTTTGTGCTTAGCAAAGCTATAGATTTGAAAAATATACCTGCATTTTTTTCAACTCACCATATAAAATGTAAGTCCCAAGCGGTTTGAGGAGGCTGAGGCCTTTCCCAGTGTTTTCTCCACACAAACAATCCAAAACAATATCTACTCCATCTGGTGAGATTCTAAAATGTAAGCAAGAAATGTCGCTTTTCAGTAGGATCTGAGGCATCATTAAAACAGCGTGATACAGGCTGATAGTTACATTTCAGCAACCCAAGCCTTTCAACTGAAAACACTTCTCCCTTTGTGAGAACTTGCAGTAAATTGTTATATATGTATTATGATAAAACATCTCTTGCTGTTCTTTTACTGAGTTCATAAGGAAATACCTCTTCTTAGTCCAGTTCACTTATGACAGAAGACTTTTTAAAGTATCATTAGCACACCTATCATTTGCTTCAAGCTTCGCATCAACTGTGCCCCAGCAAAAAGTTAATTTAAGCACAAAGAGAAGTCATCAGATTGAACAAGCTGGCTCTTGGGTACTGTTGCCTTGTGTAGAGTTTATTCTCCTGTTTATACTCAGGCCTGTGATAAACGCGTAAGGACTTGCAGTTCAGCAGCCTCCAGTGGCTTCCACAGTTGACTGGGTCCCTCACTCCCTGTGAGCATTTCCATTTGTATCTCTCTGCTGTTTGCCTTTTGGCTTGGCTCCCTGTTGAAAGCTCTTGCTTGGAGTGTTGCAGCACCTGCACCAAGGCAAGTTCCCACCACTACCTTTCCTCAACCTCCCCTTCTTGCTCAGCACCTCTCCACAAAGGAAGGGCTTCCCCTTAAAGGGGTTCTGCCCAAACCTGTGTGCCATGGACAGGCAGATGGGCAACCTTTCTTGGTGGCAGCCAATCCTTTTAAACAATATAAGATACTGCTAATATCCAGTAAAGCAGAACTGGGTCAGGCAGCTCTGTCATCCATCTCACCACCTCTTTCAAAAGGTGTCGATCCAGACATTCAATTGTCTCTTCCCATAGAAAACCTCCAGAGGGTTTTTCTTAGTCTTTTGCTAGGCATCATGTAACTCTTACTAAGGAAAATAAAGGATTACCTTTTTACTTCTTGAACATAGTCTGCATTTCTGTCAAAGAGATGAGTTACTGAATCTTTGATAGCTTCATGTTTGAAAGACGAAGCTGTTCCAAAAACTATAACATTGGGAATAGTTGAGCAGAGCTGAGCAACAGCTTGACCCTGCAAACATATTATTATATTAATTCACTGACGTGGCATTGGCTGAAGAACTTTGCAGCTGGCAATTCATTCATAACACAGCAAAACAATGAAAGGCTGATCATGTGCAAGCAACTCCTCAAAGAATTTCATACTAGCAATTTAGTAACAGGAAAAAAATACACTTAAAGTGAAAGGATAACCTGGAAAAAAATAAGTGGAAGGATAAACTGAGTTGAATATATCAGAAAAATGTATGAATTTTCTTTTAACAAAGGTACTGAAATTTAAGAGAAATTTTGTTAATATACCAGGAATGCCTAAAATGATTACTGAAGGAGTACATGAGGAATATTTCTGTTTTTCTACTTCGCATTCTATGTGCATTTTGGAACAACACTAAACAAACAGTATCTTTCATATGGCAAAAGAGCACAGAAAGTGGTTATTATCAACCTAGAAAATGTTGATGCAAGTTTTCTACCTGAAGTGACAATTCATTGTCATTGTTTTGGCAATTAACATCATCCCTTCGATGCAGAAGTAAAAAGTTAAGGACATAGTGCGGCTTCAAATGCTTCTTATGTCATTTTCAATATCTAACAACATTCTTGAAAATATTTTTTAGTATTTGATTTGCCTTTGCCCAGTATGTTCCACAGTGCCCTAAGCTGAAACCTTGTCTTGGTCTATTTACCAATACTATTATGACTTTATTTATAAAAAGCCATACTTCCCTCTAGAAACTGATAAACAAAGCAATTGGAAAGAAACTAGAAAACTCTCATAGCTATATCTTCCAAAATTTTGCATTCTACAAACCAGAAAATTCTCTGGCTGTAGCCCCAGAAGTAAAAGATTCTGCTTTTATGAGATGCATATTTTCAGCCCATGGTTTTCACAAGAATCCAGGCCAGGTTGAAATGCCTCTTTCTTTTCCCCGCCAAAGCAAGAGGCCATCAACAATGCCAGCCTTTCAAAGAGATCTCTCCCTGATGCCACATGGGGAAGTGGCACATGGGCTCCCTGAGGCTCACCAGGTCATCAGGGACATGTGGGCCTTTTGCAAGGAAAAGGTTGTGGTCTCTGCAAGCACCTCCCATGGGCTGGAAGATCCAGGACCCAGACACAATACTGCTGGGGGCAATCAGGTGCCGTGCCACTGTTTGGGCAAGAGTTGGCAGGATTTCTGCTTTCCAATACCCATAATCTACAATTTCAGGAGGCCGAGAAAGGGAAGCATCAACAGATCAAACTAGAGTTGTAAAGTTGTTCTGCTTTTTAAGTTCACTAACTAAGGGAAAGCAGATTTTTGATAGGCAGATTCCGCCTCTCTCTGCAGTCGTGTGATTCTGCTGGAACCAGCATGGTTACATGAATATGCCCAGAAGCAAGAACTGGCACTGTGATTCTAAAAATATCACTGAATTTAACAACTTTGTATTTATATTTACAGCCCAAAGATTATCATTTGAAAACTGTATGCATGACTAGTAAAATCATCCATGGAGAAACACATTTCTTTTCATTGCAACCAGAAATGCTGAATTATTTGTATGTAAATACCAGTAATCAGTGCTTGGGTTTTATTTACAGTAGGATAATTAGATAACTCTGCTTACCCTGAGGGTCTTGGCATCTTCCCACATAATGCTGAGTTTAATTGCTAATGACAATCCCCTAAGTTGAGCCTCTGGAGAGAGGACAGCGCTATTATTTGTATAAATGTTGGAGGCTGGTTTTCTACGAGGTGAGTCAGTAACCAGCAGTGGAAGAGGTTTCACTGTCCCCATACTTCATTTCTCCATTACTCACCTTCTCTATCTGCACCCCAGGTTTTAGGCTCCAAAAGTACTGCAATGCAAAATTACAAAACTCAAACTAATTTTTCTCTTGTCTTTCTTAATACTAGTTATTTTTACAGTCAAGCTGCTTTTTTCAGGAAGACACGAAAAATGACAACTACAGCCCTTGATGATTTAGAAAATATTTCATACTGTATACTAGTGGAGTGCAATGCTGCCCTGCTGATCTATCCTTTAATGGCTTTTCTGCATTTTCTATCCATCTTCAAAGGGGAGGTATAAGTATGTCCTGAATCAAAAACAATAAATGCTTAAAAGGTCAAATATTAGAGTAGAAAACACCTTTTTTTTTTTTTTTTAATTATGTGAAGGAGGATTAACATTTAACTGTCAAAATGCTCAGGAAAAATGCACAAAAGATCAAGATGTGCATAAGCTCCTGACTCAAATTGGTTAATACCTCCTCTGTAAAGATAGGCTTATCTAAAACCCCAGATCAGAATACTTCTGAGCTTTCTGTGGATTCTTAAAGCTTAAAACTGTTTCATATGACCAGTATTTTTGTAATTGGATGAACAAGAACATTGAAGTATTTTGAGGCAATTCCTTGAAACATTGTCCCAAAGCTTTTTGAAGATCTTAATTTGACAATGATTTGTACTTGTTTTTGTGGAAAGTATTCTTAATATTTATACATCAGAGGTCGACGAATAAAAGTTGATACTGGACTCTTCGTTATTTTACCACTGAAATGAGAGAACTGAACTCAACCCATTAACTCAAATATTTTGTTAACTTCTGTGGAATTTGATTAAGCTGCAAAAGAGCATTGTAGCTTGACAGGTCACTCAAGTCTCTTTTCTAATCCCCATTTAGCTGCCCTTGGATTAATAGCTTTGTTTAGAGCGCTATGCGTTTTAAGTGCAAGTATGTGAGGCCTCGGTGTTCAGATCCACAATCTGTAGAAAAATCTGTAGAAATACAATTTGCAGAAAGGATTTTGCAGCTGGAAGTGAGAACATCCTCCTCCCGGTGCCACAGAGCAGGAGGTGGATTCTCAATATTCATGCTTCCTCTTGACCACTGCACAGCCTTGCCACAAAGCACCGTTTGATCATGGGGTGACACCACTGTCCTGTCCTTTGGCAGTCATTCCTGTCCTAAAACAAGAGCTTTGCAGCAAATAGACAAAGAAGGGGACTTCAGAATATGTCACGAATGGATATGCTTATATTATTTTAGTTGCAGTGAAGTGATTAAAATTTCTACATGTTCCATTGTTTTGAAGCTCAACATTAAACCTAAAGAGTCAAGAGCTTCCAGTACTGAGATGATCACAGAGAAGCAAATTTAAAAGTAAAGATGAGACTCATCTGTTCTTTTAAACAATTCTAAAAATCAAAAATTTTGAATGCTATTGTCATTTAAAATTTAATATAGAAAGTACAAATAGAAGAATGTTTACTAAGTTAATTATTAATACTAAGAAAACATCACTTGACATGTAAATAAAGAATGTTAACGGATCATTCAGATTTAAGCTCACACAAGAACCTTTTCTAGAATTGAATGCGAAGAGAATCCACTACATTTCCAAATTGCTTGAACATGTATTCCTGTCTGAAGGAGGTACAAAGTGCACATTAAATGTGGTGAGAGAAGACATGTAATAACTTCTCAGGATGGAGGAAGACTTTTCTCGCGTATTAGAGTACTCTGTGGCTGACTTCTGTCTCCTCAAGGTGTCATTTTTCTTATTAGAGGAAAGGAAATTGGAAAGCAAGTGCTGGGGTGGACACTGCAAAATGGACACACTGAAATGAGACCCCTGAACAACTGCAAGGCAGTGTTTGTATTGCTCATTGCACTGCAAGGAGCTTGGGGAGAATACAAGGGGAAGAAGAGAGACAACATAAGATAATTGTCTCTTTTCACCCTCAGATTTTCTTATTTTCAGCAACAGTGGCTGAAGGCCAAGGCTTTTTCTTCTTCTCTTTTACAAAGTCATACTGCTGAGATGAATCCAAAACTGAGGGCAGAATCTCTACCCAACCCGCAAGGGGAGCAAGGACACCAGACCCCAGCTGAGATGCTGGCCCAGAGCAGGTATCTGAAAGTGTGGAACAGCCAAGGAAGGGTTACGTGCTCCCACCTGTGATGTGACTCGTCAGGGGACCCAGAGAAAGAACCCATCCTCTAGAGAGTGCAGCGCTGAGAGAGGCAACAGGAAAGGCCTGCAGGGAGGACAGCCTGCTTTGGTCAGGGAAACTGCCTTTTGGGTGTTCAAAGGGATCAGGAACGCCCATAGACCTATTTTAAGAGACTTCAGCTTTCATACTGCTACTGCTGCTCTGCTCCAAGCCGAGGCAACATGTCTGTCTGGGCCAATATCTTACGATGACCAAGGAAATGGTGAGCTTACCTTACAAGACAGTGGTATGAACGAACAAAGCAGATGCAGCCTGAAAAATAAAGGCTGAAAAGGAGAGATGTGATTCTGAGCTTGTTTCCTTTATTCATATACACATATTGCCAAGGAGATGAGCAGGCATTTGCCCTGAAGAGGCAACAGCTACTTTAAATTAATGGGCAACACCAGCAGAAGAACAAAGATAAATTAAGTGGCCACAAATAAAGTTAGGAAATTTAGAAAGGTTTCTAACTAACCAAGACAGAGCAGAGAGAAAATTGGAAGGGATAAACACAAAACTGTTTTTAAGGAAAAATGATAATTCTAACAAAAGGGTTTTCTATATGTTGCCTGTGATAGCAAGAAAAAAAAATAGGTTTACAAAGGAGTGCCAGTTCTCTGTCACATGAAATATCACCACTTTGGTGATAGCACTTAGCCTTAAATATTTGCAATTTATGTAAGGGAGAAACAGTAAAAATGAGGATTCCTGCCAAACAGTAACCAATCCTGCCAGTATGACCAAAATCTGCTGCCAAGTTCGATTTATCCTTCAGATTCAGACATGTGAGATGGCATCTGTAATCTACCTACTCTGCATGTGCTTCCCCTGATGCTGAACCTGAAAGGGAAGGTCAGATCACAGCTTCAGGACAGCAAGCAATGCTTCTGCATGAAAGGCAGCTTAATTTTTGCTTCTGTAAGACTAAAATGCTAGAGAGTCAGATAATATTTCTGCCTTGTGTGGTGCTTAAGTGATGAAATTGTACCTTTTACCCAGTTTTGTTAAGGTGAGCAAAGGTTTGTCTAGAAATATTCAGAATGGGGGGACATCTAAACAGCAAGCAAATGAACAGAGAGGCATAACATCTTTTTTCCCTCAAGCCAGATCTCTTAAAGAATCTATTTCCTGGGTAAATATCATAAGACTTACTAAAAACAGATGTAAAGAGCACAAAAAAATTGCTTTGTTTTTAAATGTAGCAGCCCTATATTTATGCTAAACTAGTTCTAGGTACAGCTTATAAAGCTGTTCTCCGAACTATCAGTGCAACCCCATAGCAGCCTGTGCTGTGACACGTGCTCGATGCACTGAGGTGGCCTTCGTGTTGAGGAACAAACTGATTCCCATAACAGATCAGTCCCGGTGGGGCTCGTGATACTGTGCAGTCATTCTCTTCAATTAGCTGCCAGGTAGCTTCTCTTTAAAAAACACATGAAAAATATTTACGGAGGGAGTTACTCTGTACTAACCATGACTTATAGTCATTTCAAATATTAACTACAATGTTTTAAAAGGTAGGAGAAACCAATTTCCAGTTTGGGGATATAGCCTGCAGTAAGACATATGCTCTTGCAAACTTCTCATATTTCTCAGCAATCCTTTCTTTGAACAAACGATAGGAAGTTTTCAAGTTCAGTGTTAAATGACTTTCTCCTATTTTAGCAGTCAGTTTAGAAAAACATTTAAACTTTTCCCTAGCTTTAGTTGTTTATACTCTGTTTATATAATTATATCCCTTGCTATTACAAGAACTGCCATCCACAAAATACTCCGCTCACACAGAAGTGTAAGTGCGTGTCAGAGGCCTGACAGTGCATGACAAGCCATGTCCTTGGTGGTCTTGATCAATAACAGTTCCAGCAGTGACAACCAAATGTTCTGCAAGATACTGAGCATAGAATTATTATGGTTGAAAAAGACCTTCAACATCATCAAGACCAACTGTAAACCCATCAGCACCATGCCTGCTAAATCATGTCCCTAAGCACCTCGTCTACACATTTCTTCAACACTGCCAGGGATGGTTACTCCACTCTTTCCGTGCAGAATTTTTCCTAATATCTAACCTGAATCTCCCTTGGCACAACTTGAGGCCAGTTCCTCTTACTGAAGTCTAAGCAGACCCTGTCCATAGCCTTTCCCTCAGCTACCCCACAGGTCACCTGGCCAGGCTGACAGACCTGTAGCTTTCCCTCATCCAAGAGCTCCCTGGAGCTTTTTAAGCTGCTAAAGGAATGAAAGAGACAACAGGCTTCTGGAGAAATACAGTGCAGAATATAACTTGTTTCTGATTTCCATCTAGAGATTTTGCACGTTGTGGGCCTGACTACACTGCGCTGCTGTTCCAACAGCCAGGAACCATAGTGCAGAGCACCCCGGAGGTGGAACAAGCAGATGTGGTAGGGTCTCAGATCACTGTGTCTAAGTCAATGTCTTAGAGTTATAGTGCAAGGGATTCAGGCTTCTCTGCTGTGACACAGCAATTGGCCTCCTGCCTGGGCACCCCTTGTCCTTCGGACGTGTCATCCCTCTGGGCTCACACCGGCCCTGTATCAGGAACTGCCTAGCTCAGCTCTTCTTCACCAGACTCCAGTCTTAACACTAGAAACTGGTTTATTTAAATACTCATCAGGTAGAAGATCTGATCTCTCCTTGTTCTGGCAGTCAACCAGGACCTGTCCTTCCCTCAGTTTCTGTCAAAGGACGTGCCCAAACAGTCACAGCAGAGGAGCAGCAGCAGGCTGCTCACAGAAAGAACAGCTCTTGATGGGAACAGGCCAGCAGAGATGCTGGTCACTAGTGAAGGAGATTGTGTGAGAGGAGACACCGGATTAATGATGTGTAAGGGAAGAGAAGGAAGAACTAACAGGGGTGAGCAAAAGTAGGAAAGGAAGAGAGAGAACAAGAAATGAGGAAAGGATCCATGCCACACAACAGACAAGGAGTCCATTTTCACCAGATATATTGCATATGAATTGGGATTTTAGGAGGGATTTGTCTGATTCTGTATGCTCGGCCCTGGGTTTGCATTGTATCAATTAGCAAATGGCTTCCAAGTAAAGCTGGGCCTTAGACTCCCTGAACATGTAACCCTGGCTGTTTTAACTCTCCTAAATTCCCCATGAAAAGATTTAATATTTAAGAACAATAAAGTCAGCCATAATGCTCTAGGTTGTACTGTGTTGAAGCATAATAAGATTACAAATTCCATTCATTTACAGAAGTATTCCAAGAGGAACATTTTCTGCAAGTAGGATTATCGTTAGCTGAAAATATTTTGTGTGGGGAACTGATGAATTTATTCCTTTGATTACAGCCTGACGCCCTGAAAGAAGGTCTAAAGGCGTAGAAATAGGGATAAGGTGCTTGGGGCTGCCTGTCAGACTTCAGTAGTCAAGAGAATGTCAAATTAGCATAAATAAGGCACATGGACAGAAAAACAGAGGTATTTGAAACACTAACATCTGCTACTGTTCTTGGGTCACAAACCTTGTGGAAGAAAAACCTGCATAGTTTAATAAGTAAACTCCTCTGTCATTATCTTAATGTTTTGCAGAAGCTTAAATCTTTTCCATGAGAATGTTACTGTCTGAAAGTTGATTCAAGCAACTGGTCACCTCCTCATTTCCTGCTTGCTCTGCTCGTTGTTCTACCAAAGCCATCCAGTTGTTGCTTTGCACATCCCTCCTGATGAGCCAGGCTGTGACACACAGCAGCCGCTGCTGCCTCAAATTCTGCCTTTGCATATTTTCCTCAGGTTTGCATGGTAACATCTTACATTGCTTTTAATACCTCCACAATCAAAGGAAAAAAAATGACTACCTTGTACATCACGCACACATTGCATTTGTGGGAGTGTTACAGGAAGCCAGTTTACTGCAAGTAGGATTATGCTTCGCTACAAATAGCTTACACAGCGAGCCAGTTTATTTATTTTTCTCATTTCAGCCCTATTTGATATTGAAGAACCACCAAGGGCATACATTTAGACTACAATGCTTAGGGCCATGTCCTACACAGGGCAGTTTGATATCAGATCAACCTGAAGGATTTGGCTTATATGATGAATCAAGATACAGGCTGTTTCTGGAATGTACATGACAAGAACGAAGAGAAAAATAAAGCAAAGGAGGAGGTCCAACTTACCACCCCGCCGCCCGCAGAGTGAACCAGGACAGACATGCCTTCCCTTAGGTTGGCAACTTCAAAGAGCATCATGTAGGCAGTTACAAAGTTCATAGGAAAAGCAGCAGCTTCAGAAAAGCTCATGTCATCTGGGATCTTGTAGACAAACTCTGCTGGGGTGCATACAACTTCAGCCCATGCATTGTAGTTTACAAAAGCCATGACTCTGTCTCCAATCTAGAGGCAAGGAAGAAAATGATGATAGCATGGGTTATTCCTGGGCTATTTCAGCTACACTCCACAATAAAAGAGTAAAGAGCATTTACTGTGCAGCTTCGGGCAAATGTTTACAACACAGGAACATTTTGGCCTCTCAAGTACTTGTCATCACTTTGGCTTGGGGATACTGTGAGTTTGCTAAATGCTAAGGTGCTGGTGACAGTTCTGAAGAGCTTACATCTTTTAGAAGGAAGATGTTGAAACAAAACTGTCATTCCAGTTTCACAGAAATTCCTCCTCCTTTTGAAAAACTGATTCAAGTTAACAATGCATCACTAGCAACCACTCTGCAGTCCCTTTCTGTGACAGAATGGTCTAAAATGTAGCTTCTTCTAAAATTAATGTGAGGATGTTAGTATGTCCCTGCACCCTTGAAAACAAAAATGATTACTAGAAAGAAAGCAGACAGGAGAAGTGTCTCCTAGTGATTCTTTCTTAGTATTAATAAAAATTACATTTTACTGAAAATGTTACACAGAGCTTAGTCTTTGTGACAGATAAGTCTTAGGTTCCTGAGAACCATTACCACAGCACCACAGCTAGAGATATTAGACTCATTTCACCTGAAGCCAACAGAAAATCAGTCAGTGGTTTTAATGGGAAAATGAATAGTTGTTTTTTTGTTTGTTTTGTTTTTTTAAAAAATTGCTGTTGCAAAACAAAGGCTGTCCTTCAGTTGAGTTACATCCTACATATCTCTGTCAAGATGGGCTGCCACTCAGAGCAGTGACTCTCCATAGCATAACACAGTCGCAGCAGATGAAGACACTAAAGGGCTGACGGTATCTCAGGTTCAAGAAGGAGTCTCAGAACAGACACGTTTTCCAAGTGCCTGGAATCCCCATGACCGACATGGAGTTTACAAAGAGGAGGGAGCCAGAAGACGCAGGGTGCGATCTCCGGCATCCCGGCCTGCGCTGCTGCTGACAAACGCCCATCCACAAGACAGCCATATGGCATCCCCCTGTTCTGCGTAGGAGCATTTCTGGATTCCAGAAATAAACAGTGTTCTCTTCCTCAGAAAACATTTCCCTGCCGATGGTTTCACATTGTGTAGCAGTTACTTTCGAGTGCTGAATCTCCACAAACACTACTATGTGATGGAAGATTTTATGGATCTCCCAGCATATTCAGCCAGGTGCAATGTCATTCAAACCCAATATGCTACAACCTGATGACTCCCTTTAAAAATAGTATTAACTTGAAACTAAGAATGCTAATCTAGGGTAGAGACTTTCTATACTACTGTCACAGGATACTCTTCTGTATGGAATGTAACTATAGAGAGCTGAAAAATTGAAACACTAGAAATTTTTTGAATAGTAAAGCTACCATGCAGTTACCATTCCACATTTACCTCAAAAATGTGGAATTATGATTTGTTGTGAGGAGGACATAGAGCAGAAGGGGGAAGGGGATAAATGTTGTATTGAGAGCTTATTATTGAGGCCCTACTGAGAACTAAATGGGCCATTACCTTTACTCAACAGGAAAACTCTGAAGCTCTCCTAGAAGAGCAAAAACGTTACCTTTAAATAAAGATATTTTGGGTAATTGCCTTACAATATAGATAGGAAATAAAGTACAAGATTTCATGGAACAGAGATGTTTAACATCATAATGGAATAGGAGGTGGGACAGAACACTGGAAGTAATAGAGGTACTGAAGGGTACAAAATGTCAACCAGTTACAAGAGCTTTATTGCATCTTTTAGCTATTTTTTATTTATCACTATTCACTAGTAAGTGAAACACATTCTTTTCCTGATTACTCAGGAAAAGTCATACATCCAGAATCAGGTTCCATTATGCACAAATGTAGGAGACAATATTTGATGTCGATTGGGTCTTCCTAACTCAAGATGAAAAAATGGAGCTAAGCTGAGCAGCATGTGTGTTTTGAGGAACAGAACAATGATATCGAACATGAAACGATACCAAACAAAGAAATTTAACAGCCTAACTCAGTTTCTTTTAATTTCTTAAAGAACATCAATTATGGTTTGCAGTTCCTGCCTAGTCATCAGGACATGCACACAGCACTGACTTTGCAGGATTTGGAAGTAATAGCAGTGCCTTTAGAAACTCATTTGAGATCTCATTCTTATATATGGGAATCAGTAAGGAATAAATGCCCTTTTGGACCTCAACATGGTGCTGGAAGCAGCTGTCACTGGTTGAAGGGACTGGGGGCAAAATATTTAGTGAACAAGTGATTATTTCCTCATGTCTAGAAAACAAAGATATTACCTCAAATCCTTTCACATTATCTCCAATGGTTTCTATAATCCCGGAGCATTCAAAGCCAGGAACAAGTGGTGTCTTAGGAGGGTTGTCAATATTCCCCTGGCGCACCATCAGATCAAGGAAGTTCAAACCACTGTAAAATAGAGGAAAAATAAAATCAGAGCTATAACCATAGATCAAAGTAAAGAAGGAAAACTTGACCAGAATGATCAGAAGGTCAGAAAGCTTCAGGACAGCATGAAACTCATCTCGGGCATTAACCCCTATTTTGAAAAGAATTTATTAAGTATCAAACAGGCTGTTTTTACATTCTTCCTCTTGGACAATTTTTAGTAGTTTTTATAAAAGCTTTTTTAGCTCTTTGGAGTCCTTTCACAGTTATCACTCAGATAAAATATCTAATGATTTCCCTCTTAGTCTCAGCTGTGCAAAAATCTTGTCACATCTTCGCTTTGCCTTTAATATGCTACCAACTTGATTAAAATAAAAGGCTCTCCTTTTCTAGAGACACAAAAAGCCCCACCACACGCCCACGCCATGCCTTGGCACCTCCCCAACATGCCGATTTCTAGCACAAATGCCATACGCATCATACTTGTAACCAGCTAAAATATGCGGCAGCTCTCGTTCATTGTCCTGAACAGAGCCCCGTAGCTACTGCTGGCCGAGACTGCTGCCTGTTGGCTCCCCCAGCCGTGGAGATTCGCGCTCAGACCGTCCTGCTCGTGCCGGTGGCACCGGCAGCTGCCTGGACACATGGGATTGCTCATGTGCACAAATATTAATGAGGGGGAGTTTTAGTCGGACACTAATCAAGGCGCAGATTGAGCAGACCCAACAAACAAAAAGAGGGGATAGATTCAAAACGTAGGCATGAAGACAGGGCATCATTCATGGGGAGATGTAGGTCACTGGGAAATAAAAGGAAATCCCATCTAACTTGCAAATATTTGTAATTATGGTGTAGGTTTTAAAAGAGGCTCGAACTCACAACTTCTTGCTGTGTAAAAGCAGGATTACAGCTTATTAAAAAGGTGACTCTGAAGAGCTAATTTAACAAACTCTGGAGAAGGAAAGGAAAAATAAAGACCCTCCCCCAGGCGCCCCATAAAAATCATCACATGCTTGTACACAAAGCTCATTACATTTACCACATGAAAAGTCTGGCACAAAGACTCGGGGAGCTTTGAAATCGCGTTTTGAAAGGCTACTTTCTATCCAGGAGCTAGGGCTTCTATGTTGCCACTGTAATGTTGATAGAGCAAAAAGAAACTCAGAATAACAAAGTACCAACGTGGCTACAATTTGGCTACAAGGCAGCCATCACTTGGTAACGTTATATACATAGTGTCAACCACTGTTTGTGCAGGGTAACTTCAGTGATGACCTTCGGAATAAACCTTTCCCCATGGAGCGGTTCACAAAGGCAGCCGACTTCCACGTTCTCCCTGAGCAGAGCAGCTGGGCTGCTTTCTGCTGTTCCTCAGTCAGAGGCAGCAGTGCCAGGAGAACAGTTCACCCCCGTTACCACGAACTTGCAAAATGTAATTCCAAGATAGATGGGATAATAAGAGAAATCTTGCTCCACAGGTTCATGCTACTTAAGTACCATTTGTTTTTAAATCATTTTACCTGCTAGCTGAGACATTAGGTATTGGATTTGTAGTTATTTCTAGTCACTTTCCAGTTAGTTTCCTTTCTTTTCACTTCTTTACTTCCTATAGATTTACACACTTTCACATTCCCCCTGTTGTACCATTTTGGCTACTTACAGTTTATCAGAAAGATGCAGATATCTGAGCCTGCAAGAAGTTTCATTTCTCTGCTCTTTCAAATAAGCAGAGAAATAAAATGTATTCTAAAGGCCAGATTTGAACAAAGTTTATCAATAACAAAGGACCTGAAAGCAGAGTTGGATTCTTTTTTTTCTTTTTCCTTTTTTTTTTAATAGCCTAGAGGCACCAAAGAAAAAAAGGAGTTTAGTGACCAGCTCCTAGACACTCAACATTCCAAAACTCTAAGAATCAGTTTGATACAGTGTCCTGCTTCTGCTGTGCATATAAGATGTCTTTGATTTGCTATTTTTTTTTTTAAATGCTGTTATCTCACAAATGCCAAGGAGTCAGAGGGGCCACTTTTGCGTCATAGGGAATGAAACCAATGTTCAGCAGCACCAGAAAGAAATAATTACAGAGCAAAGAAAAATAAAGAAGTAATTACAGGAGACCATTCCTTATTCACCCATCCTAGATGGTATATCCATTTTGGTTTGTTCTAGCTTGTTGCCTGATCTCACAAACAGTATCATACCAGTATTTTGCAGGCTGCAGATAACAATACAAACAAATAGAGCAGATTGAAGTTCTTTGCCATCATCAAACAGAAATGATTTCAGGAAATATGCAGGAGCTGTGACTCAGCTCGGACATCGATGGCTGCTCCATTTCTTAGTCACTGAATGAGACCAACACATGACTCATCACAACCGAGACATTTTCAATTGGATCATTGGTATTCCAGACCTTCAAAAGAATTATTCATCTGTCTCGGTGCTAATATCCTCCATCTCTTCCATTAACGGTATCAAACTATAAAATGCATGCATGTAATTAAATTGTTTTGCATATCTCAGTGATTAAAGACCACACATGAACTTCTGCTTTTTACTCCCAACGCATGTGACATATCATGCAATTACACACTATTTATTATTAAAATAAAAATGTGTTTTCTCCCTTTTCTCCCCAAGTTGCCCCTTTAATGACAGTCAGCTGCGAAACTGGGATAACTAGAAATACTCCTTAGCACCAGCTCCTCTTCCTCACCTTCGAGATGCTCTGCCCTGCGTGCATCAGTGTGGGACCACAGAGCAGAAAGACCTTTTTCTCACCCAGTCTCTCAAACTAGACATCAAGTCCACTGCCACCTGATCAATCTTCTATATTTTCCAGCTTAAAACATGGAGATCAGCGATTTGGTTTCACCTTTTTTTCAAAGTGAACTTCGTCGGCCTGATCACACGTCATCCCTGTGGCCACTTCCAGTTCAGAGCAACAAGCAGACTGTGCAGCCCACAGATCCTGCAGCCTGAGAGGCAGCTACAAAACCCCACGTACTGCGCTTGGTCTCATAGTAACGACGAGGCAGTGAGGAGGGTCTGCTGATACCCAAACCAGCAGGCACACACAGCCTGCGGCTCACAAATTGTAGCACAGCCCTGGGGAGCAACCGTCACTGTTATGACGGGCTGAATATTTCTGTTTTACAGCCAGGGTTTTTTTAGCAGATAAGTCATTTGTGATACACACACTTGCTTTGGAGAAACAGGAATTCACAGAGGCTCTGAATGCTGTAAATACCTCAGACATGTAAAGGAACTTGTCCCCATGAGCTCTGAACACGTGAAATTGTCAGTGTTAACTTCTGTTAACTCAATAGCTCAAAAATACCCCTCAAATGACAACAGCACTGCCTCTCAAGCAGAATTATTGCCCTGTCTGATAGCAAGATGAGCTACTTGAATATAAGAAATATTAGCAGCTTAGTAGCTGTCAGTAATAGCTAGCCTGGAATTTCTTACATTTCTCATTGTGACTGTTAGAGAAAAACAAACAAAAAAAAGAAGGTAAAGATCCCAGCCCTGCATCTTCCTTCCTTGCTCAGACAGACAGGTGTCACTGCTTCCATGGCTGATATCTCAGCAGTGGGATAAACACTTGGCCATGGATCTTATGATCCCCATAAGCACAAGGAGGAAAAGCCACTGCCCAAGATGGGGGAGACTCTCAGCTGTGCAAACCTACCCAAACTCTCCAAGATCTGAGTACATCCATGGGCTACATTGCTAAAAACAAATGTTCTGCCCTATGGAGGCATCACTTTCTGTGTCAATCATTTCTAAATAAACAACTTAGCTTACACCTTGGCATTTACTTGCTGGAAGCATCAAGATTTTACCTAACAGAAGACAACTCTTTGTGATTAGTTTGGTCTTTGTCATGTATCCAGTTGTGTAAAAGGAGCATAATATTGTCTCCCATTGCTTAATAAAATAATCCTATTTTCCTAAAGGAACATGTGCAGTGAGAACTGTCTACCTAGAAAGAAAAAGCTGGCCTCAATAGTCTGAAAAAAGAACTTAGTCCTTCAAGAGGGCTCAGCTCAGTACCCCAGACTGCCAGGCTCCTATCACTGCTTTTAGTTCCTGTGCCTGGCAGAGTTACCCTCAACTCCAACTATGCTGCTGCCACAGCAGCTCTGAGGGAAAATGACAGTGACAGAGACAAGTGATTCCCAGGAGAAAAATAACAGTTAATATCAGGAGGGAAAGGAGCAGGTGCTCAGCAATGCATTGGAGCTTGCATCGATTTTTTTTTTTTTTTTTTTTTTTTTTTTTTTTGCAGAAAAAGAGAAAATAGCAGCACAATCGGTGGGCTCTTCCCCCCCATCTCCCCCAGCTAGTCCCAAGGAAAACCAGTGCTGGTTCTTCCTTCCCCGCTCCGTGTCTGCTGCCCGGAGCGCGGCGCGGCCGCCGCTCCCGCCCGCTCGAAGGGCGCTAGTGCCGGTGCAGGATCCTCGAGCCGCGGGAGCGGAGCCAGGGGCGACGGGAGCCGCCACAACCGCGCTCCGGGTCGCACCGCGACGGAGCGGAGAGGGTCGCACTGCACCGCACCGGAGCGGTTTGCACCGCATCGCATTGGAGCGGATCGCGCCGCCCCGGAGCGGATCGCACCGCACCGCACGGCACCGGAGCGGATCGCACCGCATCGCACAGCACCGGAGCGGAGCGGATCGCACCGCACCGCACGGCACCGGAGCAGCGGCTGCGCGGGAAGGCGGCGGCCGGCGCGCGCCTCGCCTGTCCGCACCGCGCCGCGCCGCGCCGCAGCCCGCCCGGCGCGCAGGAGCGATACTGGACCAGGCTTTCACGCGGACTTTGAGCTCGCCCTCGCGGGGCTCCGGCATGACCCTCTTGGAGACGCGCAGCTTGTTGAGCCCCCCGAAGGCGGACAGCACCACGGCTCTCATCTCCTTGGCGTCGGCGGCGCGCAGGCTGCCGCCCGCGCTGCCCTCGGCGGCCTCGCGGCCTCCCTCCTTCTCGATCATCTGCTCCGTCTCCTCGGCGCGCTGCGCGCCCTCCTTGGCCATGGCGGCGGCCGCGGCTCCCGCCCGCTCCGCTCCGCGCCGCTCCGCTCCGCCGCTGCTGCCCGCAATGGCCGCGGCCGCGCGGCGCCGCACTGCTCCGACTAGCGGCGCAGCCACATCCGCCGCCCCCCGCCGCCCCGCGGCCGCCCGCCCCGCGCGGGGGCTCCCGCACCCTGCAAGAGCGGGAGGGCCCCAAATGCTCACGTTTCACCCCAAAGCGCTGCGCGCGGAGTTCCGGAGAGGCTGTCCCGGAGAGGCAGCGGGTGAGCAAGGCCGCAGCGTGCGGGAAAACACGAAGGCCAGGCCGGCTGTGCGCACGGATGCGGCACAGGGCAGCCCAAGGGATGGAGCGTGGCTTGGCACATCCGTAAGGACCCGGCGGCTGCCAGGCCAATCCATTCTGTGTTAATGCCCTTGGACTGAGCCCCCGCCACCAAAGCCCTGGGCCCTGAAAGCTGCTCTTGACCAGTTCCCTGTCCCAGCTCTGTGTTCCTCCTCAGTTCATGTGATTCCCATCAGAGGGACCCACAGATGGACACCAGCCTCATGACTGACACACGCATGAGCCACCAAGCCTCCCAAGCTTGGTGCTCTGCTGTAACGAGTATTTAAGCCTTTATGAGGTTGTCCAGTTGGTGCTGGGCTCACTCTGCCAGGCTGCAGGTGGTGGAGCTGGTGCGGAGCGTCTTCCTGCAGGAAGTGATGGACTACAGGAACCACTGCAGGAACCGCTGCAGGAACCGCTGCAAGAACCGCTGCAGGAACCGCAGCAGGAACCGCTGCCGCCTCCAGCTTTGCAGGAACTCACTCGCACGGGGGACCTGCTCCTTTCCAGGCCCTCACGAGGCTCCGGTTTCAAATCACTCAGTCCTATGTCAACAAGACTGGGAACCTCCCGCACGAGGAGCAGATGAACGTGGCTGCATGTGGGTTTGTAGCTGGCTACGTGCTGTCCTTTAGGTTGTGTTAGACAGCTGCATCATTGTGTAGCTGGTCCCCAGGCCCGGGCAAGCGGGCTGCTTGCACATCCAAAGCCGTGCGTGTGTTTGCAGCGCTGCCGTGCGTGCAGCCGCGCTCCATGCGGCGGCGGGCACGGCCCTTCTGCCCTCCCCTGCACTACTGCAACTTCTATGTGAAATCCGGGAGTTTTTTGGTCTTGCGATAGGGAGTAGGATCACACAGTTCAGAATTCATTCATATTTCTTAATTTCACCATGTGCGTGATCCACATTGGATTTTGTATTTAACCTGTTGCATTTAGATGCAGCAAGGACTGGAGATGGCCTCATCATAACTGTCACCAGCAATGGGCTAAAATATTTCCTTCACATTAATAAAAACAAGAGATACTGGAGAGCTGGACAGATTTTTTTTTTTCAGGTTCTTCATGCTTATTTTCAGTATGTAGCACCTTAGAGTTTTCTGCCTAATCTTTAAAAATTTCACAGACAAAATGTTGCTTAAAGAAAAGTTGATATCTAAGCCTGTTGGCTTAGGGTAGCAGTAAACAAATACACAGTAGAAGCAAATAAGAACAAGTACTAGCCACAGGGAAGCCTTGGTAGCTTCATTACCTCAACAATTTCAAGCAGATTTCATCAAAAGTGAAGTGTGATGCCTTAAATCTATCAAATGTTGTCCTAAAGATGCGATTCAGACAAAGATTCGAAAACAGCTCATTAAGACTATCGAGAATCTTCTGTGTGATGTATTAAAATTGTGGCAACACTGCATCTGATAGCAGCTTGGAAGGCATGTCACCATTTTAAAGGTCAGGAGGTGTTTTTGCTACCCTTAGTACAACTGTGAATATTCCTTCCTGCGTTAGCTAATTCAGTGCTGTGGAAGGGAATATGAAATTCTGCCACTGTAGATGTGGCCATTTGAATGCACGGCCAGGCAAGCAGCAGCTGGATAAAGAATAACAGGCGTTTGATTCTGAGTGATTTACTCTGTTGGCATCTTATTACTGTTCTGACTCGAATGAATGGTAAAGCGCAGAATGACTGAGGAAAGAAAAGCAGATAGAATATGTCAACTAAATGACATCTAGAATAATGAAGAGTCTGTGGGGCAGCTCACTTGCATCACTCCAGTGGTCTGAAACATCTAAAGGAAGCAAATCTGGATCTTAAAACTGCCTTTATTTGCAGTTATTTGCCTGCTGCTGTAGTTTATATTGATGACTTGGGAGTTTCCCGACTGACTGATATTAATAATCATTTAAATCTATCTCTGTTCTTGATCCTGAACCAAAGGTAATTTATCATACATGAATATATGGTTATATATTGTCTGCAAGTCAAAATGACTGAAGGATGGCCATTTCATTCATTTCACAGAATATTCTGCTTCTGACAGCCTGAACCAGTGTTACCATCAACAGCGGTACCTGAGGTAAAAGATATTTTGGCATAATCCTGACTGCATTATTTTGATTTGATTTATAATCACTTCTTTAAGAATATTAGATGATAAGGTACAGAAGCTTACACTAAGATGTACAACCAAGATTTAGTCTGCTGAGTTTACCTTTACAGGAGCAGGATCTAGGGCCTTGAATGATGGCTAACTACTTTGCCCAAAAGAAGTAAGAATGGCAAAACCAAATCCCTGCTTTGAATGGATAATGCTGTATTTTTTACCTCATTTTTTTTTTTTTTTCCAGAGGCATAAATCAAAACACATTTTCTCTCAAAGCACAGGATTTTAAAAATATTTAAGCTAAGTGATGAAGGTTCCCAATAATGCTAAAATCAAGTTGAGATATATTCTGTCCACTTTAATGCATAAACTGTTGTGTTCCAAAATATTATTTGCTTTGCAGTCTGATGTTAAGAAATGCCCTGTAGTGCAGGGATAGAAAACAAATCCTCGGGACTTCCTTGGCTTTACTGTCTTGTTCTAAGTCTTCTCCCTATAGCTTTGTGTGCCGTATAATGTCCTTATTGCTAACAGAAGGTGCCTGTGATGTATTACGTTTTGAGTGCCTGTTCAAAATGCTTAGTTTGGGTGTTGTTACAACTTATCATCCATAATTAATCCATTATCAATGAGAAGATGATTTTATTGACTTTTCCCTCCCATATCCCTTCCGTAGAATGTATTAATAGAGAAGAATTTTTCCAAGCAAAGAAACATGTTAGATTTATTTTGTTCTACTGTGTTTTGTTGTTGTGTTTTGTTTTGTTTTCTAAACCAAAGGAGGCCTCTGTTTCCCAAGATTAATTCACATTGAGGTAATTGTTTCATTCTCTTTTTGCTGGGGGCTTTTTCTTATTGGTAGAGCTACGTATGAATCATAGGAGCAGTGAAGCCATTCTGTTTATAGTCACTGCAAGGAACTGTACATTTTCCTTCAGCATAAAGAAGCAGTTTGAAGCTCCCCAGAATCATCAGGAGTAATGAAAATTTGTTGTGTTTTAAATTAAAGAGGAAAAGAAATGAAACTATTCACATAGGATTTGGCAAGGCCAAAATGACTTATTCTGATCACTGCTCACATTGCATTTTTTCATTATTTTATCATTGGTCTTATACATAAATTGTGCTCAGATAATTGAGTAATGGGTCCAATATAAGCTAAATGAACAGATCACATTATTCTTGTTGAAGAGATGGTATTTAAGACAACTTTTCAATGATTCTGAAATCTTTGAGTTATGATGTTGATAGTTGTAACAGACATGGACAGACCAAAAAAACCCATTTTAATGAAACTGGTATTATATATTCATTTTTAGATCAATACGGTCCATTTTATTGGGTGAAGTGAATACGCTGTATAGAAAGAAAATACTGGTCAATGTCTTTCCGACATCTGTACATTTTAATGCTTCTGTTGCTTTCTGAAAACATCAAGTGTTTTGTACACTGAAGAAAATACTATTACATCATTTTTGCTAGTTGAGTTGCAACTGCATGGTTTCCTTTTAGGATTCAGGTCTGAGAAATGAAAAGAAAAAGGTTGTCACACTGGGAAACAACCAGAGAGACAGTAAATCACAACGAGCAAATTTACCAGAGAAGGATAAGTTAGTAATGTCATGACTTAAAATGTCATTTTGGAAGAGCATCACTGAAAGTGTGAGCAGACTGGCCTAACTCCATCATTTCAACTAATTATTACTCGTTTCCCTGTTAAAAAGCTGAGGTGAATCATGTTACCCCATAGAAATAAAGAGTGGCAACGCACATTTACAGTTCACTTTTATAAGTGCTAAAGACACTTAGACCTCGTTAGGATATTATAATACTCTCCTTAATTCCAGAAGGATTTGTAACATTTTTCATACCTTGTTCTTTAAGATAATTGGTCTAAAGGAAAAATGAAAATCATGGACATAACTTAAATCTCCAACTGAAATTACTGTGGCCTTAGCTGTCTGGAGATACTTTATGTACTTATTCATTCAGTGTGACTCTAGGCATTGAGAAAGAATAATCCCGCTTGGCATTTTGAGTCAATTTGGTCTCAGTAATTATGGAACCACAGTAACTTGTTAGAAGAAGCTTGTAAAAAAATAATGTGCCTGAACTTTACAACACAGCTTAACTGCACAGAAGAATCAATCAACGAGGAAAATAAGTTTGAGAAGGATGTGCAGTTAGGTAACTATAACAGTGCATAATATCATCAGGAGCATCTGTCTGTGAATATTTTATTTCCAAACTGATTACTGCTAATATTACAGCTAATATTACCTTCTACAAGTCACCAGGTTGTTTTACCTTCTTGGGCCATTGTTTTCTATATTAAGTGTGTATATATATATATACAATATATACACACACAATATATATATATGTATACACGTATATATGTATACATGCATATATATGAAGTATATGTGTATACCTATGCATACATATGTATATGTACATACATATATAGATATACATACATACATACATACATACATATACATACAGCTTCACAGTGCATCAAAGAAATGTGAGTCATGGCCTATGGACCTATGCAGAAAGCTTCAAAAGTTGCATAGAAACAACTGAAACAACGGAGCAGAACACACTTGTCAGCAGTCTCCCTGAATGTCCAGGCAACAGTAAATTTTGTGCCCAAAAACCTCTTCAGATATTAAAAAACAAACAAACAAACAAAAACGAGAGAAGCCTGTCAAGTTTGGAGAGGGACTTCTAAGATTTTAGGAAAGATTCTGATGAAGAGTCACGGCAATCACAGGCAAACAGCCAATGAGCAACATCAGAGCCAAACAACAGAGATGAAAAGGAAAGAGATTATTTCCATAATTAAGAGGAGCTTGACCTATCTATGCCATAGCTTCCCGATTAAAGATCTCTTGACATGAGAAACTATAATGTGTTTGACCCATCATACAGTATTGCTGCGTGACAGAAAGACTTGCCCCCACCAGGAAGAGCTTCCTGCCAGGGTCCTATTTTTCTGCTTGAGTGTCTTGGCCAGGCGCTGGATTTCTCTGCCAGGAGAAAGGGAGATTCTTTTATGAGGGGTAAGCCAGTCTGAGAGGGCTAGAACAGCCTAATAACACCACATCCTTAACACGTTTTCTTCTTGACATAGCTAAAATGGAATTAATGCTTGATGATATATCCTCACAGCAACTTCCCTTCATCTTCACGCTCTCCTTTGAACAGTCCCCCCCAAGAAGGAAGTCCTCGAGCAGTAGATCTTGCAGCATGTTGTGACCCAGGCTCTTTCTGAGCTCTGCGTAACAACCCGTGCAACGTGCACATGCATCTAGGCAGTGGCAGAGCTTCAACCACCCCAAGCTCTAACTTCCAGTCCTCTGCTTATTCATTGATGCCTGTGATACCCGGTGCCTTGCTGAGCTACTTCCTATCATCTGAGCTGCTGTAAGGGGTTTTGCACATCCACAGGCCACACTTCTTGTGAGGTAAATATCTTTTTCACTTAGTTGAACATATTTTACCTTACAGCTGGGCAGGAAAAGGGCACATATTAGTTCATAAAGAGTAATGGAAGATTAGCTGTCAGAAACTAACTTAGCCTTCATAAATCAAGCTGCAGTTCATGAATTCAGGATATTCCTGCTTGCCTCCCCTCACCTGCTTGCTTCTCATGCCCACACTGTGCTGCAAAGTGTCTTGTCCTCAGTTGATTTGGCCCAGCTATTTATGTGGCCATCCTGTGAAATGCAACAGGTTGCTGCTTCGACTTAAAATGTCCCTGGTATCAATCACATTAAAATATAAGTCCTTACTCCAAGAACTTTGTGGACAGTTTCCAAATTTTTCTTCACCTAGCAACTTTTATTTTCCCATGTGGTGCCCCAGACCTTCTCCATAGAATATTCCTGCTTTATTCTTATTTGCCAAGCTGAGGACAAAGGTGTTAAGAGTTTTCCCACCTCTCGCAGCTGATGGAGGGAGGAAGCAGAGTCCTGATGGGCACCCAGCAGCAAGGACTGCGGCTCCTCTGCTGCCTTCACCACCATCTAATCCTGTGACTGCAGATGTGAGGGGAGAGCTTCAGCACAGCAGGCTCCCAAAGGCAAGGATTTTCTGAACTGAACATCACTTGTAGCCCTTTGCTTCTGGGCCAAAACAAAGGAGCATCCCCATAACCATTGAAACCACACGTTCCTCTTGAACTGGGAGCTAGATGCATGCAAACCCAATGTGGGTGTGGGGATGCTCCTTTGCGTTAGCTCGGAAGCAGTGGGGTGCAGCAAAGGGGACTCACTCCCCTGCCAGCCGTGCCAAGGAATGCCACTCAAGCTGTGGATATTTGCCAGGACAGGGATATTCGAGTTTTCCATGTGTTCAGGGGAAAGCAATATCACAATGAATCCTAGCCTGCTTTAAATGAATCTATATTCATTTAATGTGAAAAATGATAGCACTTTATTCTTTAACTCGAATTTAAACCATTCCATCTTTTCTGCAGGTTAGAGTGTATTTAACAGTGAGTCACCTACTTTATATATTCAGAAGCTCATTTAGGCACCATCAATCTCTTGAGATTCTTCATTGCCTTCTCTTCCAGGTTCAGGACAATTCTATATTGTTTCATAATTTAGGGGTTACAAGATGAAATGCCTGTTCTTGTGGGTGAGGCAGAAGAGGAGAGAGCTCCCAGTCCTGCATGAAAGGAAGCAGGAGAGGGAACACACCTTTCATGGCCTTCTCATGCCTGACACTTCCATGTCAGGTGTGATATTGAGTTTGCAAACACTGAAGAGATGCAGCTCAAGTGAACATGGCAAGCATCTCTGCTAGGAGACTTTAGTTTATGCAACACATAGAATATATTTCTACTGTTCCATCAGATTAAACACTGCAAAAAGCTTACCTCAGTTTAAACTGTTCTGCATAGAATGGAATAAACCAAACAAATCTGACCTGAAACTGTTCAGTTTGGAAAATCTTGAATAACCCCTTCAGATGTAAATCTTCAGATGTGGCTTGAAGGATGTCAAAAGTGAAGAGCTTTCTTACTAGGGTCTTATTTCTCAGAAGATATCACAATGTTAGATAGCAGTCCCATCTTTGGGCTGAAGAGCTAAATTAAATTTGGGCCTATAGCTAAACTAAAACCCAAAGTCCGCTTCACTACATAAATCCAAATATATTAAGTGCGTTTTGTGTAATAAATGCTTCCCATTAAAATGATACAGTGTGTATAATGGTAGAATAACTACTTTTTCTTAACTCTTTGGAAACAAAAATGAGTTCATATAAATGTCTGCAAAATACAGTGGAAGACATCTCCAGGAATATGTCACCCTTTTATTCATGTGCAGTTTTCTTATTCCTCAGCTGTTCTAGGACTTCACTGAAAGTCACAATTCAAAGGAAAAAATACAGAAAAGTGATAATTCTGCAGCAGATGTGCTAAAACAGCTCAGCCTGCTTTATTCTAGAGCTGAAGTACAAGATTCTTCTGTTTTTCACTATCTTTATAAATCTAAAAATGTCCTTGCATCTCCACATAGGGGTAGATATGCCACAGAAGACACTTACTATGGCAATAATACATGAAATATGTTATTTTTCTCGCTCAGTCTCTCTTCTAATGGTCAGCGCAGTCTAAAGGTTTGCAGAACTCGGAATGAGAAGTGTGTCCATAATAATGAGCCTGTTGCCAGCCAGGGAGCAGCCATTCCCCTGCAGCAGATTCTGACAAGCAGGATGATTACTCTTCATTAATGTTTCATTATTACTTGGATGTTTTCTTTCCTAGTGCAGTTAAAAACAAACAAACAAACAAACAACCAAAACCTACTCCAGATCTAAAACACTAAGCAGCAGGCAGCATTATAGTATTGTAAATTTAATTAACAACATAAAGCACTCCTTTTACTCCTTGGATGCCAATTCTAATGGCATAAAATAAATTCATGTTGAATCTCTGCCATCTCTAAATGAATGTAATGGCTAGAGATCTGTAGCTTCTGTAAGAAAACAGAAATAAGTATGATTCCTTTTTCCCTCTACCTAATTTCTTAGATTATATTCTGGGAGAGGATAAGGTTAGAGGGAAGGAGAGAGTATCTAATGTCCCCTTCTAGTATAATTAAAAAAAAAAACAACAAATTAACTGGCGATGGTTTAACACGTACTGCTATGAAAACTGCATTGCTATGGCAACCTACTGAAAAAAATCTTTGTAGCTACCTTATCTTGACTTGTAAGCATTTAAAAGAGTTAGAAAAAGAAACTTCTCCACATTTTCTATTGCTTATATGTATATTTATATATGATGTATGCACAGGCTGACTATAAATAATGTCCTTTCTTGAACATTCCAATTTTTATCTACGATTTTTAACCCTGCACGACCTCTGTGAAAAAGTAACAAGGATTTCAATGCGCTTAGTTTAATTAAACTTTGTGAAATGTGATACTGAATGTTTTGTCCAATACAGAAATGCTGTAAACTGGTGTGTGTGTGTGTGTGTGTGTGTGTGTGTGTGTGTGTGTATAAAACTCCCTTTGGGAGCAACTTCATTAATTTGATACATTTGTAATTGTTAAATACTTGTATCTCAAATATCAAGTGTTAAATATTTGCAAAAACTTAAAATGCCAAAAGCCTATTTGAGCAAAGATGTAGAAATGTTAGATATCAAATCACTGCCTATTGACTAAAAGAATGACTAACAACTTGCATTAAACTTCATACAGTTTATTTTTTGTTAACTCCGATCAAGTCTTTGTATTCATCAGTGTCATGTTGCATGAATTATCCAATTACTTAATAAAAGATTATATAACACATTTTAATATATTTAACAGTTTTTATTTGGTAACATATTTCAGCTGAACAATAGTCTTTGTTTTGTTGGGGGAAAATTCAGAGGGGGAATTATATGTATAAAACACCTGTACAGACTTGTGCTTGATTTGGTAAATATATAGGGAAGAAAAAAGCCTGCTTGGACCAGAAAAAGAAGAGAAATTAGTAATTATGTCATCTAGTATCCATTTTGTTTACTAATTGAAGATCTAATTGGTTTGCTCTGTTTTAATTAACAATGTTCTTATTTTAATTAGTTATCTTCCCTGTATACATTAGCATTAGGATAAACCATGGCGGATATGAATAATACAACAAAGAGTTTAAGTTAGGATTATCTTTTAAATGTTTAGACAGTTTCAAAGCAGTTAATACAGCTACTGAGTCAGAACAAAGGCAACGTTTATTCTGGAGAAACCACTCTCACCGTTATCAACCACGGCCCGTGTGAGACCACTGAAATCACCAACCACTTTCACCTACCTGTTTAAGGATGTTCTCTTGTTCTCTTTGAAGCTACTCTGCAATCCAGTCTAACTCAATTGTGTTTCCTAAAAACCAAATCATTGGCCCCAGTACGAGGACCACTGTGAATAAACTGCCAACCCAGCAGTGAGTGGAAAAGGTTCACAAAGAGCACCAGGTATCTGACGTTGCCAGAGGACTGGCAAAGGTTCACTGAGCTCCTCAGTCTAGGAACTGTGAACTCTGCTTGTCTCTTCTTAAAATGACTCCTCCTAGAAGCTGAATGAGTGATGCCAGCAAGAGGAAGGAGAGGCAGAAGTCTTCTCTCTGAAGACAAGGTACCATTCACTCACTGCACGCTTGCAAAATTCTCTATGGGAAAGGGTGAGTTCAACAATAGGATTAGAATCCATCATTCCCTCTTCCCTCCAAGCCTCCCACCAAAATTAAAAACAACAAATAACAACAACAGCAAGAACTGTGAAAGCACCCATCACCTATATCTTTATTGTGTACCTTGTAACAGTGCTTAATCACGACTGTATTATGCCACATGTGATATGTCAGAGTAAGTGCAGACAGATCCTCCAAAATGTTTATATTCCCATTCAAACTGAAAAGGTTATGAAAAATATCTCACTTTGCAAAAGGAAGGTATATTAAAGAAACAATATTAGATCATCCAAGATAAATGTACAAATTGAACCTATATCTTCCAAGTCATTATATTAATTGCAAGTTCATCAAAACCACTGTGCTTTTGGCAATCCTAATATAGGCCCAATAATTACATGAACCCAATTAGAGCCTGATTAACTTCTCAGAACTTTTAAAAATCTAATTAAAGTTTCCAACTCAGAAAAACATAAATGTGAAGTTAAATCAAGTAACAGGAATAGAGAGAATAAAGCCAACTCCTTTTCACCAATTTCATTAAGTTTCATTAACTGGCAGTTCAGTATCTCATAGATGACTTTTCTTCGCTTCCTGTACTGATGCATATAAATTCATGAAGTTCTGCACAGCAGATGGCAGCAAGTTGTCAAGATCATAATCAACTTCAAAGGTAGGTCTCCTTCCAAAAATTACAAGAGCAAGAAATACAGCGAAGTGTGCAGTAAGTCCCCATATCTTGAATGGTGCTTTATGCTCATTGTCATCGTACGTGAAGCAATGCATCCGACCTTGGTGACCAGATGACATTTTATAAGGCAAGGACGTGTAATTTAAGGGCTCAATGAAGTATTCCAGTGGCACCACAAACACATCACTCACTTCATCTGGATTAGGAGTGGCCTGGAACGTGTCCTCTATAAATCCTACAACTGGTGTTACCAAATTATTCATCTAAAAGAAAGTAAACAAACAAACAAACCCACTAATTTTGTACAAAGTAAATGAAGTTCTTTATTTTAAAAGTACTTCAGATGAGTATGAGCAACCTATGAAATATTCATATTTATAATGCATTTTTAATCTCTAAAATGGCATTATATTTACATTTACTTTTAAATACTTTATAACTTTCTAAAATTCTCTTTTTGTATTAATTAAGCCTTGCTTTTACTAATATTCTGCTCATGCTGCATGATCACAGAGCTGCTAAAAAGGTTTATCCATCTGCTAGAGGAAAAAAAAAGCTCTCACAGGTCTGAATTTGAAGAGCTCTGTTTTTAAGTCTTTCAAATCACTTATGTGTGTACATATATATATGTATACACCCCTCCCGTACATACATGGGCACGCACACTTTACATATAAGTGTGTATTTCTATATACACAGCTGTAATAAGCATGCTGCTTTGGAACTGTCTTGGGTTTATCTAACCTCCCGGTGAGGAGTTGTTTTCCTTGCCCTTAACCAGAACCTCCCCTGCAGCCACTGGTTTGCAGGGACCGGCTTTGTCTTGTCCCCAATCACATGGGGACAGCTGACAGCAGCAATGGGGACAGTTGATAAGAGCAGTGAGGTCTCCTGCTGGCTCTGCCTCCTTCGGGCCGGGCACTCACACCTCACCAGGGCCAAGCTCTTCACTCCCTGCCCTGGTAACAGTCTGTGCACATTAACACGCAGGGGTTACTCACAGCAATGGGCTGGAGAAAGATCAACCTTATACACAGCAAATATAATTACAGATGAGAACAGTATGATTTTAAGCTCGTTTTCTAGTGCTTTGCTGACTGGTTTGGTGTATTGCTTACTTTATCAATCCCAGGGACGAGCCTACAGACGACTTCAACCTCCTCTGGCGGGAGCCCTATTTCTTCCTTGGCTTCTCTAAGCGCAGTCTCAATCTCATCCTTATCTGCTGCCTCACTTTTACCTCCCGGAAAACACACTTCTCCCGGGAATCTTCTCAGCTGGAAGTCAAAGGAGCATCACTGTTTAGTGGATCATGCCCACGGTCCCTCCCCGGATCCACACGGACACTGGCTGGCACCGCAGAACCGCCGCGCCTTTCACCTTTCGTGGACCTTCCCAGGGAAAGCAGCCGGGAAAGCCCAACCAGGGAGCTCTGGGATCAGGAAGGAGCCGCTCGCCAAGAGGCACGCGGGAGGGCGCTCAGATCCCCCTGGCGGTGCTCGCAGACGGTGCAAGGGCTCCGGTTTTGTATTTTTTTTAAGGCAAACAAGCGGTGCGCGGGCCGCGGCGGGTACCTGCAGCGAGCGCACGGTGAGCAGCAGGCAGAGCCGCCCGCCGCGCTCCAGCAGCGGCAGCAGCACGGCCGCCCTGGGCAGCGGCAGCGCCGAGAACCGCCCGGCCACGTCGTGCGCGCGCAGCCGGGCGCGGGCCGCCGCCTTCAGGCTCTCCCTAGGGAAGAGAGAAGGGGAAAGCGCCGTGAGCGGCGGCGCGGGCGGGCGCAGCGAGACCCACCGCGCTCAGAACGACGGCGGCGCTACCTGCCCGCCCGGCCGCCCCGCTCCGCCGCCATGTCGGACTCTCTGCCCTCCTGAGCGGCGGCCGGGCCCACCAATCAGCGCGCGAGCCGGCCGAGCACCGCCCCCCTCCCGCGCGTGGCGGAGCCGCCGCCAGGCGGCCGTTGGGGCTCCTCGGAGGCGGCCGTTGGGGCGTGGTCCATGTAGCGTGGTCCGTGTAGCGCCTCGCGCTGCAGCGCGCGTCGCCTCGGGCTTCACCCCGGTACCGTCGGACAGGGGTAGGCGCCCGCCTCCTTTTAGGTAAGAGGCGCCAGGGGATTGCCCCGCAGCCCGTTCTAGCCCCTTAGTGCCGGCGTGATGCTAGCTGCCGGCCCCGCGGGAGCTCCTGTCCGCCCCGGTAACCCTAGCCCATCCCGGCAGCCCCGGCGGGCCCCGGGCACGCTGGGCCGCAAGGATAACGCCGTGGGGCAGCCCCGCCTCGATAATCAGGTTTAATTGCTTCATTAGCAGCCTGTCACTCTGAGCGCCGGCTGGACGCCTCCTGCACCCTCCTGACTGGCATCAGGCCAGTGGGATCCTTGCTGGTCCTAGTGAGCAAAGATGAGGAGTTTATCTATTAAACAGGCTCCTTGTCTAAGTTGCCTTTCCTGCTCAAAGGTGACAGAAGGCTGAAAAACAGCTCCATGTTTAAGTTCTGCAAAAATCCTGGTTTGCAACCCTAGGGGGCTTGCAGCCGATCTCTCTTGGGCTTGCTGTGGCTTCTGGACAAGTGGTGCTGGCTCCCAGTTGGGATGAACGGGCTCCCAGTTGGGATGAACGGGCTCCCAGTTGGGATGAGCATCACGCAGGCAGCTGCAGGGTATTCCTGCCCTGGTGGCCCCAGGCCGATGTGCGGGTTATGAGGCAGTCCCAACAGCTCATGATGAAGGAGCAGGAGCACCAGTGCTTCCAGTAACGTCTTTCGCAAAGGTATGATCAGTATGAACCTTTAGCCCCCCAAAAATGAAGTTACATGGAGTACAAATACTAATCTGTCTTTATTTGCCCTGATGTTTCCTTTTCTTTTCCATTTTGTTAAGTAAACTAGACTATCAGGATCAGCTCTGCTCATGATAAGCACTCAGTGGGGTTGATGCAATTAACCTTGAGTGCTTAAAATACTTGTGCACCCTACTTACTATATAAAGTACATATTTGCCTATCTATATATTTACACGCACATCTGTACATATAAATAGGATTGCAGTTTATATATACAATACATAAATTGTGTTATTTTATATAGTAGCTAAAAGACAAAGCTAGCTGTATATGTGTAAGTCTTGTGGCTCTGTCCCTGGGGTTTCCAGTGGGATTTATATACAATATAATACACATTTTATACTCAACGTTCTGTTCTGGTAGCTTGAAGAACAATCATTAGCATTTTTTATACTATTCTATAAAACAATATTTTCATTATTATAGGAAAAAATATACAAAGAACTGTCTTTAAAAGAACCTTGCAGTTCTGCAGTGAAATGAATATGTTTAGTAGGAAATAACTCCTCATCGTTTGTCCACACAGCTCTACATGACACTGGACTTCTGCTCCAGAAAAATGATGCGATCAGATTTTATATTTCTCTTTGGCTTTCTCTTTCAGAATGCAGATGTGCTAAAAACAAACAAAACCCATAATTTTAGCCAATCTTTAGCTTCAAAGGGAATGAAATATTTTCAGCAATATTCCTATTGGAACTGGAAGGAACACACACCAAAACACCACTGCTTTGTCAGTTTTACTACTTCTAGTGAAGTTGAACTGCTAATATTTCCTCCAACCTCATCTAAAATGGATAGAGAAGTTGTATAGTCAAGAAGAGGTCAGGTTTGTTCATTTATCATGTCCTTCTTTATATTGCTTTACAACAGCTCAGGTCAAGTTTATGGCTTTTACAAATGGGTTTGTCGTGTTAAAAATATCTTCAAGTGAGAGTTTTTTCACTTAGCCAAATTTAAGAGAATGCTTTTTAGAATTGGAGTGAAAAACCAAGCCAAAACAAAACGAGCTCTCTCCATTACTTAGAATCTTTCTGAGCAAGTCTAGGATTCACTTCAGCCTAAAGTGGCCATAAGGGAACAAAGGGAAACAGGACCTGATGGGCATGTTCTACAGAGTAGAGAAAAACCTTCACACACAGTCCAGTGTAGAGGTGTTTTAAAAATTCTGCCAGGGAAGAGCAACATAGGATAGCACTGAAATGGACAAATGTTACAGTACAAAGAGCCGAGTTATGAGTCGGTTTCTTTGCAGGCTGATACCTGCCAGGCAGCCTGCAGGGCCTGGAGCGCTGCGCAGCCGAGCGGAGCGACGCTGCCTTTGGAGTGGATTCATCAAGGTAGGGCAAGTGCAAGTTGCTACATTAAATTACTAGCACATCAATAACATTTTAACTCCTTTAGAAAAAATGTTAGTCTGGTTTAAAGTTCTGTTATCTGGAAGCTGCCTGCTGTAAGCCAGTATTCTTGCTGCTTAATTGCAATAGTCATGTATGTACATATGGAAACAGGGCACACACAGGTATGTACTTACATTTAGATCCCTGAAGTATTCATTATAGTCAAGAGCATATCCAACCACAAATTTATCTGGAATTTCAAAACCCACATCTGCAACAAAAACCATTTTTTTTTACTTAAGTGGTATAAATATCTTTTAGGTGCATGGGTTGTCCTCAGCTACGCAAGAGCAGTGCTTAGCAGATACTTCCTCCACTTTCAAAGATTTAGCACACCTAGCACTCCTACAAGTCAGAGATGTAAACTGATGGCACAGATTAAAATCCACACCATCCCCAGCAGTTAGCAATGTAAATAAAATCCTTGTGTGTTTTTTTTTAATAGAATTCTTTTGTTTCATAGAAGTACATTAATTAAGTTTACTTATGAGGTAGCTTTGCAAGAGGGCAGCAAAGAGGGAGGTTTTGCTCATGGAGCAGTGCACCCACATGGGAAGTGTGACCTGCTGGCCCTCCAAAAGCTGACATCGAAAAGCTAGGCCACAACTCCATGTAAATATCACAATTGCACTTGATTTTGAGAGTGGGTTAGTTCTGAATCCAAAGTGGATTCAGTTAGTTGAACTGCAGGCCTACTTCCCTCTTTGGAGTAAATCTTAATCAAAGTGGGATATACGCTTTGTAAACAGGTTATATTTAAACCATGGTCAAAGCCAAGCAATCAGAAGGTAAGTGTGATTCTAGTTCAGCTGTCTGGATACAAACAACTTTACCTACACGCAAACAAAGTAGAAGGTGGTTGTGTGGTTTCAGTATGTGCTACCTGGTGGTCAATTTACAGGCTTTTATTTATTTTCTCCATATTTCTCCCCATTTCTTTTGGCCTTCCTGACACGCATATCTTACTGTCCAGGTTTATTGCATGAAATGAAATTCTGAGATCTTATTTTGGTCAACTAAAGAAATGCAGTACTTACAGTCAGGTCTGTAACCTGAGCTTTGATGTGTCCTTTTAACGAGCAGGCTGTAAGACAGAGGTGAGAATCATGGTTTTTAAAATAAACTTGCTTCAAGTCGTAGATTTCATTTCTCCCACCTCTCCCCTTAAGCTTCTAGAATCATGTGTCTCAATACAATACTTTCTCATTGTTTTAACATACCAGAAAGAACTTGACCTTTATGTTTGGGGGAAAAAGTTAAGGGTCTGACCTGGGCTCCACGTGACTCTATTGTCTTTGACTTAATTCTCTTCAGTTTTGTATCCCAAATCATTAGTTTTCCATATAGTAGAATATCACTAAGCTAATGGAGCTCAGGTAGGCAGAGAAGTTCAAGTGGCATGTAAAGATTTTGGGAGAATAGGGAGAGAGGAGCATTGTTTCCTGCTTTTACGTTCTCCTTCCCAGATATTTAACATATATATATGTACGTACACATATAAGTATATAAGTAATACATATAAGTATATAATATAAGTATACTCTTACTATTCCCTTGAATGATTTTGGTATCATTTCACTATGATACATTCATCAGGGGACATGTCATCATACCTTACTACTTTTACAGTCTTTGGCTTGTAGTCCCTTAGTTTTGCAAGTAGCGCCTTCATTGTTCTGCCAGTCTCAATAATGTCCTCAAGGAAATTAAAAAAATATTTTAGAAATCTGAAAGAATAAAAGACTGTCAAGATAACCTACAGTGTATAAAGCAATCAGAGGCTTTAGTATTGCAATAGCATGACATACATACTTTAACTGACGTATGATCAATTGTTGTTTTATGTAATATTAAAGCATTAACTTGCTAAGTGGAAAAGAATTGAAATCTTTACTCACCTCTACTACTAACACATTCTGGAAAAGATTAATCAGGAAGAGGAAAAAAAATTAATGACAATGTTCACTGAATTAGACAGCTAGGAAAAAAAGAGTGCTGTAGAGAATTTAATTACAAATAAGTTGCAATTCTTTTTAAAAGGAGTTCGTCACTTAACTACTTACATTATCTAAGTGCTTTCTGAAGAGTCTTTCTGAAAGTATTTATAGAAGCATAAAATATTGTGAGAAAATCGCCTATATGAGGTTCTATGTAGTAGAATATAGCAATAATTAAAAAATGGTGCATAAGTCAGTTTAACTTGGTTCATTTTTGATACTTAGGGGATAAAAAACATATCGCTAAGATTTTATAAGCATTCAATACTGATTCCTTTATGTTTTCACTGAGATCAGTGGGAATAATTCTCCATTTCAAGGCATTTAAGTGTCTGTGAATATATAAAATCAAAATCTTAATACAGATGAACTTCCTGGATTATGTGTAAGAAACACTATTTTCCCTTAAAAGATAAACATGCTAATTCATACCTTCCCATTTAACGTGGACAGTTCTCCAATTATACTGATTTTTTTTGTGGGTGAGTCTCTCTAGAAGGAAATGGGAGAGAAGTCATATGGTCAGATCTGCTCCGAAGTGTTACCTTGTGTTTATCAGGAATGTTGTGCTGGTGCTGTGCACACAGCAGAGGACACTTGCACCTTTATACAGAGGTCTTTCAGTAGAAGAGCTTTTAATAGCAGATAGCAAGAGATTGAAGTTTGAGCTTCTGAGCAAAAGTGCATTCATATTTCTAGAATCAATATGGTTACTTTCAGCTTTTTTTTTTTTTTTTTAGCATTGATTGTTTGAGAATTCCGTGATACTTTTATAGGACACTGCAAACTGTTAGATTTAGCATGAGATACGTTTGGAACAATGCACAGAGCTTGAGCACTCAAAGAGTGTAGAAGGTAAAACAGAAAATAAGTTATCAGTAAATCACAGATTTGCTCTGCAGTGGTTGGCTTGGGCCAGCTAGAGTTGGCTTGGGTAAAAAATACTTTTTTTTCCAACACATGGATTAAATAAACAAATCTCACCATTGTTATCTGTAAGAAAAAGAATTAATGCAATGCAGATGGAGAGCTTAAGCAAATCTCTAATTTGGAGCTCTTCTCCATATACCCTCCTGCCCAGGAGGGCCGTGGTGAGGACCTCTAGAGTAGACCCTGTGGAAGCTTTGGGCTGGAGAGCGGGACTTTGGGGACCTGAACCTGCCCTTACTTTGTTGCTTTAAGTGTTCAGCTGTATATTCATGCTGGTCAATAGAAATACTCATCTAGTCCTTTGGGCAGGGCAGCAAATTGGTTGCCTTTCAGTACATGATAATTCAGCTGCTTTGAACAGGATGTATGCTAAACTTGATTTCATGTGTTTTTCATGTAAAATAACAGGATTCAGAATGCTAGTCTTTGGGGAGGGTCAGTTTCCAAGAAAAGAAAATTACTTACACAGTAGCTTTTTATTCTAACAAAATCCACAGTAATAGGCACAGATTTATCACCATTTTGATTTAGTACTTTTATATGGTCCAGTAAATCAGCAAAGAATTTATAGCCTCCCTTAAGGACACAGAGAGCAACGACATGGTGACTCCCCATGTCGTGCATGATATCTCTTGCCAATCGTTCTGTCCTGGAATAAAACAAACAAACAAAAAAACCCAAATCACAAATCTTGTAAAATATTTTGCATGCCATATTTGTTTGTCCGTATAACAATGCCCAAGTTAAAAATCTAATTTTGCTGTTGAATATTTTAGCCAGAGACATGAAGCACAGCAAAGCAGGCTACCTGTTGGCCGCTAGTATCACAGGATGGTGCTTACCCACGTGGCAGATGCCTAGGTTAAGTGATATATCTAAATAATGCAGGAAAGGAAGGCTTTAAACTGTTTGAGATGTCTTGGAAACCTCACCAGAGCTGCAGGGAAAGTCCTGCCTTAGTCCTTGTCTCCAAGACTAAGCTTAAGTTTTGTAGTTGCTGAGTTTGCCTGTTTCTCTAGGCTTCCATAAGGATGGTTGCTTCTGTGAGGCTTGGTCAGCGTGTCAGTCAGTGTGGGCTACTGGAGGGCAGCTGGGGCCATTGGTATGACTGGCACTGCTCGTTGTTTAGCGCCCCCTTACCTGTCCAGGATGAGTCCATGAGGAATGAAGACTCTTTCCACATCTTCTTCGTAATGCTTAGGGATGCAAAATAGGTTTTTATTGTAGCCGCTTTCTTCATCTTTAATCTGAAAGTGAAAGGGAAGTGTTTAAAAGATGTGTCTTGGGATTCTCCCACGTTTCCAGAAGGTAATGGAGGCTTCACTCTTTGTTCCATTGTGAAATGGTAGAACAAAAACAGACTAGGAAAGTGTAATCCAGAGGAAGAAATTGCAAATGAGAGTGTTGACAGATAGGTATTAGAAATTGATTAGGAAACAGCTGAAATTCTTTATTAAGATCTCTTCACATCTGATATTGCAGTGGTATTTTTAAAGAAATATGGGACTAACTGCAAGAAGAGAAACTTCAAAGCTGGGCTACACCTTCTCTAGTGCAAAATATGTTAGCTCCAAAACAGTTCTACCAAACTCAGTTCAGCGCAATTCAAAATATAAGAGAACTTATGAGTTAGGAGGAATCTGTTCAGTGTGGTGTGCATGGCAGGTTTCTTTGGTGGAGGAACACTGTGAGAAGCAACGTGAATAAAGTTAACTTCAAGCACGCTCGGAGTGGTGTATGTTTCTAATATCCTATAGTCTGCTTAGCACCAAAATAGATCACTGCAGCAGGAGACAATGTTTTAATGGTTTGTGTTCTGCATTCTGGCTGAGATCCTATTCCCGTCACACTTAGCCAGCGCAATGCTCTCCTACCAACTGAGAAGCCTCTTTTGACTTCTAAAGCAAGCCACAGCACCAAGTGTTTTGTGGCTTGGTAATGGATAGCATGGAGCTCTGAGGTAGGCAGTTATAGCACGAAGTGTTGTGAGCAAAAAAATAATTAACGCCTGCAAACTCTTTAGATAAAGTAATTTTAATTTTGCTTTTTTTGTGGCATAGAAGAGGTGACTGCTTAGGAAGAAGGGAAAAATGGACCTTGAGGAACTAGAGTAGGATATTACTTGAAAAACTTTCAAAATAAGTATTTGCCCGGTTTTATACAAAATAAATGCCCTGTTTTATACAAAATAAGTATGTGCCCTACTAGACTAACTTGAAATGGCCTATGTGAGATTGCTAGTGGTAACAGAAAACATACAGGTTACAGGATTCAAGTGACAAGAAACAGTGACTGTGAGACTTTAGATACATAGTTAAAAGTTAAAAGACAGTGTTAATTTCACTCAAAAATTTAAGAATCATTCTTCATGCAGGAAAAGCCTTTCAGCATGATCAGTTTCCATGGTAAAGAGCAGTTAAGCAAGTGCTGCCTATTTCCTACTGTCACTTTCTTTTTTTCCCGCAGCAGAGCCGAAGTGCACACGGGATACAGAGGGGGCTTCGCTTCTTCCTGTTCACGACAACTGGTGCAGGCAGAGGCCTTTTTCTTGTGAGCTTCCATCTCTGTTGCATTCTACCTAACTACTATTGATTACGGCTGCTCTAACAATACAGTTCAGCACCTTTTTGTTTGCTTAACTATGCTCATTCAGAATATTTGGCATAAACAAAATTTTCATTGCTACCTTAGTATCTTGTTTGTTGCTATGTATAAAGAATTGAAAGATTTAGGGAGAGGCTGATAAACAGAACCCTAAGAATTGCAGTGATTTGAGCACCACGTCACCATAGCAACATCCTGCTATACCTTATGGGCTCGTAGAAGTGTTTGCATCACTGTGCACACTAAATAATACAGTAGCATCCTATTATAATAAAATAATTCACTACCAAACAGAGTCACAGAGTCATTAAGTTTTTAAAACATGAGCTTACTACTTGAGATTTTTTTTTGTTTTATTTAAATTTGTGCTCATCTCTCATTCATTTACTGAAGTTGGCTTTTTAGTTTAACTGTCTTGTTGGAGATTTCCCTGCCTTTAAAACCACAGCAGTTATGTAGAATAAAGAGACACATGAATAAGTATTTTTTCTTTGAAATAGAATGAAAAAATGTGGAAGTCTGATCATCTGTGAAATAAGTCTTCCAAGACTTCTTTCCTTTGAAAGCCAGTTTTTCTCCTGAGTAAATGATAAGAAACAAGGCTTTTCATTATTCAGTTATTTAGTTCTGCTCTTTTCTCTGAAGGCATCTTCCCTCCCCACAAAGCTCCCTTCAACAACATAGCCAACCAAACACAGTGTAATTGTATTTTCTTACCTTCAGTCCACAAGCCATATTCTTACTTCGAACCGTGTTATCTGGCAATGAGGGGCTGTTATTCCTGCAGTCTCTCCTGCTCTATTTCCATCTTGCAGTCAGATCGTGACCTGCTTCTAATAGTTCAAATTTGCCTTTCTTCCTGCAGGAAGTGTTACTTCCGTATGCTAATACATTGACATCACAATCCCAGGTTATTATTTAATCAGATTAACTAGAAATAAAGTAAGCATTACCCTTGCTGCAGCCAATCAGAATAACGATTATAGAAGTGCAGGAGGTGCAGAAACATGAATCAAATTAGGAGGAAGGACTAGTCAAGGCAGTAGTTTCTTTATCAAAAATAGAAATTAGATATTTGCTTGTACACATGGCAATTCAGTGGTATACAAATAGAAGTTAGTTTTGTATATCAGTTTCTTACACAAATTTTGCACATGTGTTGCTGCAGTAAAGCCCACAGCTTTTCAAAATTCTTATGCTCACTTGCAGAAATCAGTGTTTGAATGAACAGAAGTCGTGTTCTTTACAGGCAGCAGAAGTCTGCAATTGTTTGAGACATGGTAAATACCAGCTGACATTCCTCCAGGTCATCTTCTCATATAAACTGAAATTGACAGTTCCAGTAATATATATCATTTAGAGTCAAATGACACTGACAGTCACTGTAATCTGATTATTTTAGTGTTCCAAACTGCAGTATTATCCAGGATTAACATTGAAGCCTTAGATTTCTAAAAATTAATCCTACTAACAAAATGAGTGAAAGACGGGTTGCATACAACATGCTACGGAATGTTTTTGCCAGTATAGGTTTTTTTTTTTTTAATTTACACATTAAGAAAAGAATTTTTTTCCTCAGTTTCTTTGTAATCTCTCCCCCTTCAGGCCATTGTTGTCAATACATAATAATCCTGGAAATACATTTCAAAGTGGATTAATGAGCATATCCACAGCCTTCATTGATATGTTAAATAGTAGTGCTGTTTGAGAGCTATTGCTGTCTTCAGAATGTTTGGGCCCTCTCTTATGCCCTTAGCAAGGACTTCCTCCTCAGCATTTTCTCTCCTATTCCCATACTTACGTATGCGAGTTCGCTCTCTTGTGGAAAGAAGCCTTGCCAAATAAATCCTAGTGTAAGGCATGCTTTTGAGCAGGTAGCAATATGGGATCAAATATCCAGGGAATTCCTTGACAGAAGCACGTCTGGAAAAGAAGCGTGAACAGGAACAAACAAGCCAACAGAGATGGCTGTTGCTTGAGCAATGTGTTGCTCCCTGCCTGGTTCTTCAGTGGTAAAATGCAGGTGAAAATCAGCGTCCTTAAGGAGCTCCTGCAGGTAGACATTTGCTTTTCAAGCCTTTGTGGAGAAAAGAGCAAAAAATGGTGATGCCCAGACTTGTTTGTGTGTGCTCCCTTTTGCTCACTTGGCCCTCTCCTGGGCTTTTCAGCACAGTGTAGTTCAGCTGCCACTAAATAAAGTTGCTTCAGAGAGTCTGGCTAGGCTGAGTGCACGCTGCGTAGTTTGGCTGCCCTTGCTTGAGCCCTTTCTGTGTCAGTGAAAGCAGGATGTTGTTTAATGGCAGGTACGAATGAAACAGGGTGAAGGTCTGAGAGAACAGGGTGTTCAGAAGCACGCGGTGCCAGGGCTGACTCTGCTGGAAGCAGAGTGCAGCTTGTGTTCCCTACTGGAAGGGATCTGAGTTACGGACTGTGTGCTGCTCTCCGTGTCACTCATTCATCACTTACCACAGCTGCAGGGTTTTATGACTTGTTCTAGGATCTAAATCATTTTTTAAAGTTATTTATTTACAGGAAAAAAAAAAAAAAAGATGTTTGTAGGTTTCACATTTCTATATATACTCTATATACTTTATGTATTTTTCTACATTTAACCCTAAACTTTAAACTGGTACAAGAAGCATTCACTCGTGCATGAAGCTGTGAAGCTCAGATCTGGTATTGAAAGATACTGGGATTTCACAGGAGAATGGCAAAGAAGCAGTTTATTCTACTTATTAGCAAGAATAGAGAGAAAGTAGCCAGGTGACTGGCTAAAACTTTACAAATAAAACAGAGAAATTGTCCGCTAGAGGGAAGCCTCTACCATAGAAGACAACACTTGTAAGCAAAACATCCTTTCTGTGGAACAAACTTTCTAGACCAAGAAGTTCCCTGTTCACTTAAGCGCACAGATCTCACTGAAATGCAAGTGCAGCCAGGAAGTTCAAAACAGGAACCTTAAAAAATTGGGTCACTTGTGTAATAGGGGATTGCAGGAGAGCTGCTCTCATTTGCACCACTGAAGGTCTGACCCCCATGGACTCCATGTGCCAAGTGATTGATAAAGTCTTAATTTAAACCTGAGTACTCATGATTGATATGCTATTAGGAAACTTGATTTATGTGCTGCAAAAATGGCTTAAAATCAGTAATCTGGAGCCATTCTGTATGAGTTTGGTTTGACATTAAGTCATGGTTAGACCAGCTTCTTACTCGCTTTGCTAAAAAGCGAAACTTTTTACTTACAGAGAAACTTTTTGGGGAAAAATTGCACATCCCATGGTAAATAGTGCATATTTCAATTAAAAATTAGAAACTATTTCACAATGGTAAGGCTTTATCATACTTTTTTGTAGTGTACTCCTGTAAATTGTACAGCAAACGGAAAAATTTTATGAGTTTGAACTTTAGTACCTTTCTTAGCTATTTTCTATTTGAGCTGAAGATACATATTTTATTTTCTTGGAACAGAAAGTGATCGAAGTCTTTACCAGTATCGGATATTTTTAAGTGTTGTTCCCAACGAGGTCTGCTGCGTTTCCAGCTCCTCTAGCCACCCACAACATCCAGCAAGCACCTAGTGACAGCAGAACTTGAAGGAGACCCTGCAGGACAAGGAGAATCATTTAAAGTTGAATGATTCTGGGAAATACCCTGACACCGACTCCTGTATAGACAAGAGGCTACTTATACAAAGTCACATATAATATGATTCCTGACCTGCAAGAAGTGTGCAGTATTTTTGAACAAAGTTTTTACAGAGAAACTTAGTGCTGAGAGTGGCTTTGGAGAGGAAACCTTTATATACTTTTTACCACTTTATTTTGTAAGATAAGAAATGTTTCAGTTTACTGTTTACTGGACTGTCTGTGTTAGAAAGTGGTTTTGAGAGAGGAGCTTAGAGTAACAGAGCGTGGAGACGAGGAATCAGGACTTCTGGGTTTTATTCACAGCTCACATGACACATGGTTTATTTGCTGTGTGACCCTGGCCAATTTATTTTCCTGATTACTCCTGTTGTACCTCTGACCTTCCCCTGTGCCTGTTCCACCTCCCCCTTTTATGCCCTGTAATCAGCTGGCCTCTGGTTTCTGAGGTTCTCTCCCTTGTGCTGAGGAGGACATCGCTATTTCTGGGATAATGCCCTTTAAGAAACATGTTGCTGTCATTAGCTAATAGCCAAATAAATTACTTAGGAAAAAAAAAATGCCGTTCTATTTATTTGAAAGTTAAAATGTGGTTGTTCTGGTTTAATATGTCAGTGAGCAAACATAAGTTGTTCCCTATCTGCCTTCTTAGCCACTGCATCTGGTCAAGTTTCTACCTCTTCCTTCTGTTCATCCTCTCCCTCAGCCCTCAGAAAGGCCCAGCTGGCTGCCCTGCTTCACCTAGGGAGCAATGGGTGGTCCGGGAAGCTCTTAGGGAGCTGGACTCATCACTGCAAAGATGTTTAACAAAAGTAGTTGAACAATGGCTTTATCTGGGTATGTGATCACAGCTGCTTTATTTTAGCAATGTAACAGCATTAGCAATTAAATCCATATTTCTCGTGGGATATTTATTTTTCTGAATTAGTTCTTACTGCATTGAAAGAATTTGGTGTGAATTGCAGAGGAGTAAGTTAGCAGAACTGCATGTATCTGGTTTAAAATTATTTATCTCTATAATCTATTTTCGTGAGACCTTGAAACATGATTAAAAAAATATTTACCACAGAGAGGCAGTATTATGAAGTATTCTGGGTTTCTTTCTGTAGTTTTTTTTTAATCATCCTCTTAGATGGTAACTGTGTTTTGCTCTTCAATGGTATATTCAACTACTAAAAAATGTGATGTGCTGTCATCCCATAACACCATGGATTTTGGTAAAGTGAAGTTTAAAAATAATGTTTTAAAACACCATGCAATTACCATGTTCAGGTAAATAGAAAGAGCTGATCCCTAATTCTCAATTTTATAAAACCACCTATTTCAGTGTTGCCCCTGTTTCTGTTGAAATGCTGTTTCTGTTGAAATGCACCGAATCTAGAAGGGAAATGGAGAGCTGGTCCTGCTGCGAGGACATGGTGTCCTGAGGCTGTGCGGAAGACAGAAGCTGCCTCTGCCCTTCTGGTGTGTTCTGATTTTCCCTCACGTCTCCTTTGAATGCCTTGGGTCCTGCCTGTTGCATGGGCCCAGAGGGTCTCTCTTTGGAAGCCGTTCGCACTGCTGCGACTGTGGTTACCGTGGGGCTCAGTCAGTCCTCATAAAGCTCTTGCCTTGTTCATCCTGCTGAAAGGCTGTTGTTTGCTTTCCATTTCGAGCACTAAGATTTTAGATCTTCGCTCTCTTTACAAGCTCCCTCTTACTGTAAGAATAGGCTGAGCTTTCCTTGCCCTTGTCGCCTCACTCACTCAGCCCATTTCCACTAGGTTCTTGCATATCACAACTCATGGCTTGTGAACAGGCTCTCAGTTTCCCTCTGATCAGCTGCCCTGCCTGCCTGTTCTTCTCAGCAGACTAGCCCTAGTTTCTTCTCATTCGCCAGATCATCTTCCTGGCCAAAAGGCAGGGTTCTCATCTACTTGTTCCACATGGTGCCTTTTGTCCTGGTCAGTGCCTTCCTTCTTGAATACTTGTCCTTATTTCACTTCTAACTTCATTAGCTCCTTCCTTTCAGCATCTTCTGTTGTATTGTTGTTGTTTCATTGTTTACATATTTTTCTCACACTCTGAAACTTTCTGCTGTGGCAGAAAAATGAACAAGATGCATTTTCATTATGATTCCCTTGCATCCCTACTAAAGATCATGAGCCTTATTTAATTGGAATCATGGATTATGCCTTATTGCTAATCACACTAAGTAATTTACTATACTACAACCTTTATTTAATCTCTGACTTGCACTGCAGTGAATGGCATGAAATGCAGCTTGTGGAATTACTGTCTTCAGTCACTGTAATGAGAGTCCTCT